TCCGTACATTCACTTGTTTCAACCGCCCTTTTAACGGACCCTCTCTGGGTTTACAACGGCTCTAATGATAATTAATGAGGCATTGAGTAAAGAAATTCGTGACGTGTCTCTCTGAACGTGCCAACTTCAGCACTCACAGCGGTGATCAAGATTAATGAAAATGAAATGTTGTACAAATACAACACAAAATTACACCAGTTTGCCGTTGATATATTCGTTAGTTAAAAGATCATACCATAAAAATATAGCTTGATTTCTTAACAGTGTCGTTCATGTCATAGGACGTGTAAAATCTCACGTTCAGGAGTGCCTCTTACAATTCTGATGCAGTATGGGTTTATTTTTAGATTGAATACAATTCCGAAACATAATAGACCCCCGAGGACTTACTATACTGAGGGAATTCATATAGGAGTTTTTTGAGGCCATACCGATATTTTACAATCGCTTTAAAAGTGATTTTATCCTTGTCTGATCGCTACAAAATTTTTACCAATGATTGACTATAGATTGAAATTTGTCAAAATGTAGTTTTAAGTAAAATCGATATTACTATGACAACAATAAACAAAAAAACTTTGAAATCGGATAAGCACCTAGTTTTACGCGATCTAGATCAGCTACTGAAAATCCAACACTAGGAACTTAAAGTTTGGTGTTTAGCAAATAACCTTCGTAAGAAGCAAAAAATTCTGTACTTTTGAATTCGACTAAAACGAAAATATATTTCAAACCTTAAATTTTCAATAGCCGTCATGGATTATTTAATAAAAACCTTATAAATGACTCAAATTATTCTTGAGTAGCGTATTTCGATGCTGGCAAATTTTGGTGTATTTTCGTTCTTGCGATCTTAAAAACTAACCCGTTTCCTCACCACCTGTCTAATTGCAACTTCATTAAAAATTTGGACTTTTGGCGCTTTTTTGTATATATTTGAACCGACTCGAGCGAATTTTTTTAAATCTCTTCACATAATCTTCATAATGCATATAATACGGTCTGAAACTTTCATTAAGATTGATTCACTGTAACACCTTGAAATTTCAAGACAAACCTTTTCTACGAACCGGTCAAAAATCTGCGCTACAACATTCACTGTTTTGACCTTATGCTAGCCGTTTGCAAATTAATGCGGATAATACATATATCCATGACTAGTAATTTTTAGTGTGAGTATTGTCAATGTTTTACATTCAAAAGATGCGATAAATTAAAACTAAAATGTACTAGTCATGGAGGTATGTATAGTGCGTATTATTTTGGAAAAATTAGCATAAACGTCAAAACAGTGAATGTTGCAATGCAGATTTTTGACAGGTTCGTAGGATAGGTTTGTCTTAAAATTTTAAGATGCTGGAGAACGATATCTCGGCCTTGCCACATACAAATTCCAAATTCTTTGCAAAGAAAATGTCTTTGCGTTAAAGAAATTTTATGCGTGGCTCCTGTATGAGCCCAAATCAGTCCTTATGAAATGTCAATGCAAATGTTCTAACAGTATAATACGGTGTGGTTCTCGGAGGCAGGCCAAAACACATGTTAGGCCAGGTTAAAACGTCCCACTTCACATATGCTGAATTAAATGCTAATAAGGGGTATCTATTGTTCTCACATTTGGCACATGTGAAATGCGACTTTTGAACCGGGCCCTAAAAACCGTAACAAGAAGAAGAAGCCGTAACAAGCCGTAACAAGGTCTTGCAGAGACCTTAACACACAGCGGGCCTTTTCCCTAGAAGTCGCTCGTAATCAAATGAATGAACATTTATTTCCATCACTGATATGTAATGGTATTTATATTGGAGAAAAACTTAGGAACAGGAATATGCTAGTCAGTAGCAGATTACGGCTTTTTGTTCTAACCTACCAAATTAATGCAACTTCATACTTTTCTATACTTGTACATTTCACCATTTTTTAGTCATAGAATTAGTGTAACAATTTAAAATTGATAGTTGTTTGAGAAATTTTCATAGGTCATTTTCTAACAAATTTTGTTGAGGCCTGCTAAGGTGTTCAAAAACAGTGTTATTAATAGTTCGGTGTAAACAGGCCATACAAAATTCTTTTTCAGAAAGAGGAACAGACATAGTGTACATAGTAATTTATAGTCTTTCTGATCCATATCATATGCAGATAACATTAGCTTTTCAGGGTGCAAAGAAAGTCAGTTTTACAGCTTGCCATTCGGGAAAGCCGTGTAGTTAGCATTTACTAACCCAAAAGTCATTTTTACTAGACCGATGATGGCCAGGGTTGATAACCAGTTCTATTGTGATTAGAATTCCTTAAAAATTTCACTTGCCTGACGGGCAAGTTAAGAACAGAATTCACAAGCCCACTAGTAAAATCTAAGGAGCCCAGTAAGTGCCATTCAAATTTTGGGCTCAATTTTTTCTCTCTCGACTTTTTTCCCGACTTTTTTCCCGACTTTTTTCTCGACTTTTTTCCCGACTATTTTCTCGACTTTTTTCTCGACTTTTTTCCCGACTTTTTTCTCGACTTTTTTGCCGACTTTTTTCCCGACTTTTTCCCGACTTTTTTTCTTTTTTGGCACTGTTAAAATTGGACACTTATCCTTTGTGTCAACGCTTTAAAAAACAGTATTTTTCCCATTCCCTCTCTTATTCTCAGAGAAGAAAAGGCTACCACCATTGACAGTTAATTTTAGGATGTGCAGTTGTTCCTGTTTTAAAATACATCTGTTGTAGTAGCCCTTATTCGGACATTGTCACTTTCTTTCAGCGCTTTACATGCCATGTTATGGTTTTTTTCTGAACTGTTGAGTTGCGCATGTTGTGTTTATCACTTGATTATACTGTGGTACGTATATACTTTAGTGTGTCATTGTTAAAATCTGTATCCTAAAACTGTTAAATAGCATTTATTGTAATTTTAATTATCATTTTACAGTAGCAAATTGTGTGAGGTGGGGAGTGGGAACTACTACGGCCAATTTTGGATAGGTGTGTGCCACGAAGGTTTGTAACCTTCCCATTTTCTTTTCTCTTTTTTTTCTTATGAAGACAGTTAGGTTCTGAGATGTGACGTAAACTTAGTTGAATGGTTTCCAAAGTAGCTGAAGAAAACTAATCCAGGAACAGGTCTTCAGAGCATCGTGAGTCCCATACTTTTCGGGTACCTTATCTAGGGACAGCAATACCGAGAGGAATCCTGTTTTAAAGAACCGATAACCACTTTAAAATCATCCTTCATCCCATGGCAGTTACCTATTCATAGCCTAAATATAATAGTAGTTCCCTCCTCCTTCCCCTTCCTCACCTCGATCCATCTGGAAATTGATATTATTGACTTTGAGGTAATGTAGCTCAGTAATAACTTAACTTGTAAATTAGGTGTCTAAGTAGGTTTCCTTCCTAAACCTTAACAACCATTGTATTTTTAAAGTACTTTGTCACAAATAAAGGACAGTTTATTTGATTCATATTGCAGACTGGGGTACATGCCCCACATCACTGGAACAAACGGAAAAAAGATTACAGTTCATTATTTACTGGGTTGGCCGAAACAGGTAGAACTGAAGTGACCTGGCCTTAAGCGATTTCGATTTGAAAGAAAGGCGTTCGATGAAATACCGGGCATTGAAATAGTGAGGTTCTTCTTGAGAATTAACAAATCAAACGTTTATTACAAATTACATGAAGCTATCAAACAAAGATCGCTTCTACAGTAATCGACCAATCTCTGTTGACTTAGCTGCCCGTGTCTGGACAGACACTATGGCTTGCTTGGCTGCTTCTAAAGGTGAGTAGCTCACTAACTAGTCATGCAAACCTAACCTGTCTGTCTCTTTGTCCAGAATTCTGCCAGCTCAGGGAAGCCATGACAATCTGAACATAAACAAAGGAAACTTGTCTAACATCCTTGTTCTGGCAAGGACCCTGGCGAGTTCACACATGAAAGCTCTCTAATAAATAGTTATTCGCTAAAGCTAAGTCATTTTCTGCTTTGATAACATGGCCCTTTTTTTAACTGCTTGAAATTGGAAATTGCAGTAACCCATGCACTTGCGAAGGCTGAAAAACACATGAGTGCCGAACGCCTGGAACACTACTACAGCCCCCCTCCGCCCACCCCCCCTCTGTATGCTTACTTTCCTTTAATGACCGAGCAAGTTAGTAAACAACTAACAGGGGCGTAGCCAGCCAATAAACCTGTAGGCCCGGGCCTACAAATTTTTTGTTTGATCACTCTACCTTTGTGTAGATATTATATACGCTATAAACGACAGGTAAAATGAAAATTTGGTCGCAAGTGACAAATTGTCTCTCGCCGTCATCGTAAAGCTAAAATCACTATATAGTTGGTGCCATCCTGTGTTATTGGAGTTTTACAAGACCTAGCACTTTGTAAATCTAGTGTTTCGAACTTTTATTAAGTCAAGATGCTGTATTGCTGGTTTTATACATTTCTCCTTGCGAGTTTGCGATTAACGTTTGCCCTCCCCTTCCTTACATCATCTACGTCCGTTCATACGAGAGACTGGCAACATGCTATTATACTAAATCATCAATGCTCTGAAGTAAGGTAGAGTACAAGGTGACTGCATCTTCGGCTGTCTCAGGCATATCAAGGTTTTGGTCCTGCATTATAATTGATGCTAACTGAGTGAACTCGACACAACAGCCACTTTCTGCATACCTATAGCAACATCTTTGCTCCGCAAGTTCAATATCATCAATGTCCACATCTTGTTTAAGGTCTGCTCCTCCAGTGACGTCTGGCACAAAATAAAGCATGTCTGGTCGACCACTTGGAGACTCAGCATTGTTCGTTGGCCTTATCTTATGTAAGTTCCACAATACAGCCACTTTATAAAGCTCTTTGCGAATGAGAGGCATGAAGCAAAATTTAAGACATTCAGCCTGTACTGCATCGTTTGCGCAGTAAAGACCGGAGTCCCTAATATCTTTGAAAAAACGGATCCACCAGTCCGAGCAGCCTCTTCTTAGAATACCTCACCAAGCCTCTATACGCTAATTAGCAACGGATTTTCCATATAAGAAACTTTTATCTCCAGCCCAACTGTCGTCCCCATCACGTCTAAAGAAGCGCTCTACAGCAGCAACATAAACATTCTCTGTTCCCCCATCACCACGTATTATCTTGGCAGTTCCACCGATTTGCCTGATAGTGTCCACAAAATATTGGGCTATGACAGAGGGATCATTGTTAGAAGGACCAACTTCTAACCACATGATTCTTCTGCTATGGCCGTCAATTGCACCGTGTACACAAAAACCAAACGGTTTCAACTTGTCATATCCGTCAATATGCGATATGTGATTAGGACCTTTTGTGCTGTACTGCCTTCTCCGGAGTCTCCGACTTGATCTTGCGGACACACCATAAGGATCTAATATCTTCATCAATTCTCTAACTGTCTCTTTGCCAACAACTAGCCCGTGATCAAATACCAGCCTCTGAGTCATTTGCCTATACCCAAGAGTGCTACCACTGCCTCGTAGTTCCTCCTCGATAGCTTCGCAAACCTGCCGTGGATCAGTCCTATTAGCTCTTCTTCCAAGACCACGGCATCTCAGTATTCGCTTTAGTTGACGAATACTTAAGCAAATGCCGTGCAAAAGAAACAAACACATCAAGATCTCGCTGTAACCCAGACCTAGATGAAAGAAGTGGTCGATTATGTCGTCACGTTCTGCATGTGCTGGGAGAGAGAAATAGCCTGGCAGAACACATGTAGAGGGAATTACTATAGACAGCAACATCGTATAACGAAAAATTCTTGCGGCCATTTTGTTTACGCTTAAATGTCAGCGGATTTACTCCAAAGTCAGGGGGAAAGGTCGGGAAAAAAGTCGGGAAAATAGTCGAGAAAAAAGTCGAGAAAAAGGTCGAGAAAAAAGTCGAGAAAAAATTCGGGAAAAAAGTCGGGAAAAAAACTTAAAGGCGAGAAAAAAAGTCGAGATAGAAAAAATTGAGCGCAAAATTTGAATGGCACTTACTGGGCTCCGTAAAAATCCACTAGCCGCGGGCTATCAGAGACGACTTTCTTTGCACGCTGTTTTCTCTTATTCTCCCTGCCATAAATGTTCAACGTAAACTTCCTTAAATTTTTTATTCAAATTTCATTTTGTTAAATATAGAAATACACACGTACCAAGTGAAAGTACTGCTGAAGAGGTTTCATTTGAATGTTCATTACTCCATAGGATTTCATCCGCAAACTCACAAGTGGTAGTGACGGCTTACTAATGTGTCTTGTTGGCCTTTAATCTGCCTAACCTCTATGCTAGGGCTAAGCGTATTTTCTGAATTGCAAGTTTTTCCAAAAGGCTGGACACGTCAAGGTGTCTCGAACAAAGAAAGTTAAAAAATTTTGAGTTCTAAATGCAATGGTGCATTTTAATATGTATAAATAGTGTAAAAATATATTTCCTTAGTTAGAGTATATAAGACACTAATTGTCGTAACTTTTTATTATTAATATCTATTTGTTGTAAGCAGTTAGAAGATACATAAGTAGTAGATTTCTTTCTACCAACGAGATAACAGGAAAAAAATAATTGAAAATAAAAACAAGTAATAAAAGAAACGAATTGTTTAAAGAAGATATGTCCCTTTGTAATTTCTGTCCGGATATTATAGCAATAACAATAATAATATCAATTGTCCTTAAACTTTCGTGTAAACAAATTTTTCTTTTCTGCCAAATGGCGTTGTACGAAAAATTTAAAATGAGTGACAATTTTAACAAGTTCCATCAATCATTATGTGGTTTTGGGAGGCGGATTCGTGGATTTTCAACAATTTTGATTCAAGTGGTGTGTTCCATTGTCAGTTTTGTTTGTTTTGTTTTGTTTACTTAATTCGTGGCGGTCGAGGACTGCACTGCTAATAACTACGCTTCACATAATGCACGCATGATGCTGGTACTGCACAATTTTAAGGTAATAAGGCCTTCTGTTGCTGGCGACTTTTTCCTGCAAACTGTTGCAAAAAGTGTTTCATTGAAAGTTGGGATTCTTTTTCATCTTATCACGCGCGACAAATGTTCTGTTACAGAGAGTGTTGCATCTCTTAAGAACAGTTCTCTTCTGAGTAACATGAAAATCTGTTGCAGACAGTCGCAACAAACATTTTGGGTTTTCCAGTTGCAAGAAGAAATAAGCCTTTTTTAGTTCTCCGTTTTTTCTGTGCCCATCCGTTGAGACTCAGCGAAGTCAGTTAATGAGATTGAATCACGGCTTTAACCTTTTCAATAATGGAGCCTGAAGTTGATTTACTTAGGGTACGACCATTAAACATTTGAGTGGAGGATTGGGTCATAGAGCGGTTTTCACTTGACTGTCGTAAAACCAAAAGCAAAGTAAATACACTAGCCAACCAAAGGGCGTAGTAAAACCAAAACCAAAACCAATCCCTTTCGACAGTCAAGTGAAAACCTCTCTATCAGGAATGACAAAAAACCTCTTGCATATTTTCCGTACTTGGATACGGTCCTTGAGAATTTCTTCTTACAGAAAGATCGGTCTACATATTGACAAATTGAACGGAAATGGATGAAGTTAAGCCCAGTTTGGGAGTGACTTTTCCGCTGACGTCAAAATCCTGGTTGCGCAAGGTCCCTGTTTATTATGTATCTTTAGTCAATTCTGAAATCCATTTTTGTACGAATTTATTAGGTAAGCTTCGAAAATTGTTCATAAATGGAACGGTCATCTAGAAATTTTTAGGTTCTCAACTAGAAAATTCTAGGCAATATTACTTCTCCGGAAAGATATTTTACAGAAAACAGTCGTTAGGTGCCCCTGACTTAACAGTTTTCTGTGAAACTCGTGAGGTCGACATGTTTTGTCATTTCTATGGGAATATATATCTTAAGTAAATCTTCAATTACGAAACGACTCTTGGAGGGGCAGGTAGTCCAAGCTCGAAAATATGTGTGTAACCGCGGAGCGTAACCGACGAAATGAGACATACAGATTCACGGCATGGGAAAAAGATTTTTTCTTCCACTTAAAATAGGAAAGAGATTTAGAAAAAAATGACAAAAATGCTTCTACTTCAGTTCATTTTTCTTATTTCTTGAGTATTCCTGAGCCGATTTATAGCAGGAGTCACTGATTTTGAGGTTTTTAGCCGGAAACCGGTTTGCTCTCTATTTTTCCTCGAGCTAAGGCCACTCTCGAGCTTGGGTTTCCTGCGGGCCTGTTGATCAGGAATATGCTCGTTTGACGTAGGTTACTAGGCGTTGTCTTTCAATATCAAAAGCCGAGACCATACTTGTCGCGTATTGTTTTTATGAGTCTGAGGAATGACGACATGATAAACATTTATTACATTAAAGCCACAAAACTTTACCTTGAACTTGCGACTTATGCGGTCCCGACTTTTCCTGTCTCAATTTTATGCTTAATTTACGGCAAGAGAGGAAACCCTCATTTCATAAACTGACAGATGAAAAAAGAATTGCTATATAGGCTCACGTTATCCTTCCTTCCGAGAATTCGTCTGATTGGTCAAAAGTTGCTTTCACTATCCTGCCGCGGAAACCAAACAGAGGAGGTCTTTGGAGCTTTCCCAAAAAAGGGAGAGTTTACTAGACTGAATTAGATCAGAGCTGTTTCGCTCGAATATCCAAAGCCCGCGCACGATAAAGAATTGACCAAGCCGCGCATGAATCGCTGGTGGTTCAGAAAAATAATTAATGTCAATAATTCTTGAAGTATTAATTTAAAATTAATCTAGTATCCCTATTATATTAATTGTCTCATCTGCCTTCGGGAATGAACATGAATATTTCAAGAATTTAAATTTTAAATTTTTGTTTGACTTGAGACTCGTGCATGAACTCTCATCAAACTCACCAGATTAACTCTATGCAAAAAAAATGCGACTGACATCGGTTTGTACGGATCAGTTTCTCTGATTTGCAACATCATTTTGCTCATTTTCGTGCAAAAAATTAAACTGAGTGCTCAACTGCACCGCTAGGTTGTAGAATGCATCTGAGGAAGAAAAATCAATGTTATCAAATTTTCTGGTCTGTATTTTTTTGCTGGCTGATGAAAGTGACTAGTCTTTTGACTATCACAGTCTATTTGGACTTCAGCCACTCCAAGTAGCTGATATGAAGCAACAATGATATCTTCTCTGTTCTCGTTTATTCAGTCCTTAATTATATGTTGGAACCGCAAACTATTTTGGATCGGTGAGGCTACAGCTCGCGTTTATAGCTCCGAAGGGGGTGCGCTTATCTAGGAGGGCCCCTACCCCTGGAGGCATGCTCCTCAGGAACATTTTGAAGTCATGACTTGAAATTTAGAGCTTCTCTAAACCACTGAAAAAAAAAACACAAAGTCGATATTGAGTGAGAAATTTAACTTAAGTTGTCCAGAGATGCACTTATAACTTACTTACTTGGGGACCTTAGGTCGGAAATTAATAACCCCGAGCCATCCTGACAAAATCCGTTTCCAAAAGGCCCGATCGAGCTGATTTGGCCGTAGGATCGTCCAGTCTGTTGTCTGCCTTGATGCTAATAAATGTATTATGTATGTGCCGGTCTTTCAATCTACCAGAAAAGAGTTTCAAAACTAATAACACAAAAAAACTGTTTTTTCTGTTAAGTTTCAACAATTCTTTCTTTCTTTCTTTCAAGGAAAACTTGAATTATTTTTAACGGGTATAAATGGACAAATAAAAAACAGACGTGATCTAGAGTTTGTTGCAACATTTGATACAACAGGTTTTCCCCCGTATTTGCTTGTAAAGCTGCCGTGAAGACGGACGCATTAATTCCCAACATATTGTCAACAATGATGTTGGGAAGGATTTGTTTGATTTTTTTGCTCTTGTATTTTTCATGGCCATTACGTCTAGTGTGGTAATTTAATTTTGTCATCAGTGAAGGCGACCCGTTACCTTTGAACCTCGATATAACGAACCTCTATATGACGATGTCCTCGGTATAACAAACTATTTTCTTTACCCCATATGAAAAAGAGTCCTCGATCTAACGAAAACTCGTTATAGCGAATACAATTTTGCCGGCCTTGGCCCTTCGTCATATCGAAGTTCCAGAGTCTTATCATTTTATTTTTCTTTTTACCCCACTGAGTACAAGACAAAATAGATTCCAATCTTTATACGTCATTAAGGGTTCAGAATAAACACTTCACATGAAAAAAATTCGCGTTTTCCTCAGTTTCGAGAGACTGGGGAACATTTTTTACCCGTCTTTGACGCACTTTGACAGACATTTGTCAGTCGTCACATAACCTGCGATCAGGCGGTCCTTTTTCTCCGTTATTTTTTGGCTCTTTCCCCGACAAAAAAACCCACCTGATTGTAGGTTACCACGGAGTTTATGCGTTTTGCATAGTATTAATCTCTATAGCACGTGGCGTAGACCCAACAATTTCTAATGATGCGAGCGCCTAGGACTCCAAATTTTACTGTCATGGTTCGGGGTTCGGGAGCTCGCACTCCTAGAAAATTGTTTAAATCTTTAAACTAAGTTCTTAAGTCGAACCTCTTCGGCCAACTCTCTTCAGCAGCTTTCTCTCTTCGGGTCTCAACGGACAGTCCATTCATTCACTTTTAACCTGCAACCCTGGAGTCCACTCGGTGTAACTGCCAACCTCTCTACAGCCATTTACAAGTCAACAATTTACAAACTGATGTACTTTCTGTGTCGTACTCGGGTTGTTTTGCTAACAGTTTTGTTCTAAACATTGGATTTCTGTTGTATTTCTGAGTTTAAGTGGCCGTTGAAGAGAGGTTTTGTCTGTATTTTCCTTTATCGTCGAAAGTTTACGAAAAAAATTATCGCGGTCTGGATTCCCACCGTTTTAGATCATAAACTGAAATAACGAATGTTTCCAAGGTTTCACTAGATTAACGCCCAAGCATTCTAGTATTTGTTAACATTCTTCTATCAAAGCTTTCAGCTCGAAAGGAAGTCTTTGCTATATTCGGTTTCTTCTCAACAGGATGAATCGGCCATGAAAATTAATTAATCATAAGTGGCAAACAGGACAACGGTATCACAGGAAAAAATAACAGATTCCCATGTTTGGATATTTTTGGTATCTAGAAAATGCCCACAAAAATCCCAAATTTGGAAGAGTGAGACAAGTCCCAACCAGAGAACTTGAAGAAGATTTTACCCCAGAGTAATTCTCAAACCATGGTAGCCAGCGAAAAAACTTTTACAAATCCTAGTCAAGATTACTTTAACAGTGTGTTTAAATCCAAAATTTATTTTTGATACCATCTGCGCGCATGCGCTACCAAACAAGGAAGCGAAGCAAGGACCACTTGGACAAACAGCAGCGAGGGAAAGTCAGAACTTGTTGAAGATCAGGTTCAGCAACATAGAACAACACTTAAAATCGAAGGCAAGGCTGATCGGACAGCTTTGGATGGGTAATTCAAATTTGCCCAATATTTCGGTTAGGAAAAAATAAACCTTCGTCAAACTTTTCATCAGGGGCTAGAAAAGCCATACCGAGGAGCTGGCATTGTGTCCCCTGTTGTTGAAAAGGTTTTAAACAAACAACACATAAAAACCGATTCTCCTAAGTAACGTTTCAAGAAAAAAGTTGACGTCTAAGCGTATAAAATTGACAAAAAAAAAAACAACAGTTTATATCAGTAGACCGTACCCTTGTAACTTTGTGCGTTCGAGTTTGTCGCGACGCGGTCTTTAGTTTCTTTCCATAGTACGCTAGATGTTTCCATTCTATTCACTTTTGATGGATTGCTTTGAATAATTTGACATAACACTCCATGGCTAATATCCATGGCCATTACCTTTGTCTAAATTTAGAACAGGTCCATGAACACACGGAATATTTTATAGCGTGCCGGAGATAAGACAACATCAGTAAAAACCCGTTATTAATTTTTTTTCCCGTTTTTCCGAACAAGCACAACATCGCATTGACCTCAAAATGGGTTGAGTGCGGACATTGCACTTCAACGATTTTTTTCATTTTTATTTTAAGAGACCGCGGACATTTTTTTTGGTCTGTGAAGCACATTTGAAGATATTGGTTAGTCGGCGCTTTAATATAGCTCACGCGTGGCGTAGGTCCAGCAGCACGACACGTAACCGGCTTCCAATGAAGCGGGCGCCGAAGGTCCCAACTTCCTATGGGTTCCGAGGCCTGCAGCTTCGAATTCTTTTTAAACTTTAACGCTTTAAATTACTCCAGTCGAAACTCTAGTAACGGCCATCTTTTTTGCCCCAGAGAACAATCCGTACATTCACTTGTTTCAACTTCCCTTTTAACGGACCCCCACTGGGTTTACAACGGCTCAAATGATAATTAATGAGGCATTGAGTAAAGAAATTCGTGACGTGATCTCTCTGAACGTGCCAACTTCAGCACTCACAGCAGTGATCAAGATTAATGAAAATGAAATGTTGTACAAATACAACACAAAATTACACCAGTTTGCCGTTGATATATTCGTTAGTTAAAAGATCATACCATAGCTTGATTTCTTAACAGTGTCGTTCATGTCATAGGCAGGTGTAAAATCTCACGTTCAGGAGTGCCTCTTACAATTCTGATGCAGTATGGGTTTATTTTTAGATTGAATACAATTCCGAAACATAATAGACCCCCGAGGACTTACTATACTGAGGGAATTCATATAGGAGTTTTTAGAGGCCATATACCGATATTTTACAATCGCTTTAAAAGTGATTTTATCCTTCACTGATCGCTACAAAATTTTTACCAATGATTGACTATAGATTGAAATTTGTCAAAATGTAGTTTTAAGTAAAATCGATATTACTATGACAACAATAAACAAAAAAACTTTGAAATCGGATAAGCACCTAGTTTTGCACGATCTAGATCAGCTACTGAAAATCCAACACTAGGAACTTAAAGTTTGGTGTTTAGCAAATAACCTCCGTAAGAAGCAAAAAATTCTGTACTTTTGAATTCGACTAAAACGAAAATATATTTCAAACCTTAAATTTTCAATAGCCGTCATGGATTATTTAATAAAAACCTTATAAATGACTCAAATTATTCTTGAGTAGCGTATTATTAAAATTATTCTTGATTAGCGTATTTCGATGCTGGCAAATTTTGGTGTATTTTCGTTCTTTGCTATCTTAAAAACTAACCCGTTTCCTCACCACCTGTCTAATTGCAACTTCATTAAAAATTTGGACTTTTGGCGCTTTTTTGTATATATTTGAAACGACTCGAGCGAATTTTTTTTAAATCTCTTCACATAATCTTCATAATGCATATAATACGGTCTGAAACTTTCATTAAGATTGATTCACTGTAACACCTTGAAATTTCAAGACAAACCTATTCTACGAACCGGTCAAAAATCTGCGCTACAACATTCACTGTTTTGACCTTATGCTAGCCGTTTGCAAATTAATGCGGATAATACATATATCCATGACTAGTAATTTTTAGTGTGAGTATTGTCAATGTTTTACATTCAAAAGATGCGATAAATTAAAACTAAAATGTACTAGTCATGGAGGTATGTATAGTGCGTATTATTTTGGAAAAATTAGCATAAACGTCAAAACAGTGAATGTTGCAATGCAGATTTTTGACAGGTTCGTAGGATAGGTTTGTCTTAAAATTTTAAGATGCTGGAGAACGATATCTCGGCCTTGCCACATACAAATTCCAAATTCTTTGCAAAGAAAATGTCTTTGCGTTAAAGAAATTTTATGCGTGGCCCCTGTATGAGCCCAAATCAGTCCTTGTGAAATGTCAATGCAAATGTTCTAACAGTATAATACGGTGTGGTTCTCGGAGGCAGGCCAAAACACATGTTAGGCCAGGTTAAAACGTCCCACTTCACATATGCTGAATTAAATGCTAATAAGGGGTATCTATTGTTCTCACATTTGGCACATGTGAAATGCGACTTCTGAACCGGGCCCTAAAAACCAAAAAGGAGGTTGCGGATCCTAGCAAGAGGTTTTCTTGTAGAATTTTATTGTCGGCAATGCAGACAAGACCTTTTTCGTGAGCGTTGTCTTCTCTAAACATTAAAGATTCGATTTAACTGTTTGTAGAGTCCAAAACTGTGAATGAAGAAAGTAGAGACTACTACAGTTCTAGAGGGCGAGACCCTTTTAAGGTGTACGTCTTATGGATGTGCGTGCCTGTGTTAAAGTTGACTCCATTGCATAGTTCATACTCGACCAACCAACGCCCAAAACAAACAAACAACACACGTTCAATGTTTGAATTTTCACAATCATTTAAAAATCCTTTAATCATATTTACCTTTTTCTGAAACTTTGTTCCAAATATTCCGAACATCCACTGATTGTTTGGTAGGCCAGGTTTAACAAAATGAAAATCATGGACGGGCAAAAGGCAAAAGACTGAATATTACATGGGATTCAACTAAATTCAGGTTTTGCTAAAAGCAGGTTCGCAGCTCGCGTCCCACGGTCGGCCTTATGGCCCGGAGGCCTACCTGCCCGGTGGCCCAGTCCTGTTTTTCAACAGGTTATTTGGCCATCGTTAAATCAACGCGCATCCATATGCATCAGGTATGGCCTGAAAAATGGACGGCGATGAGTTTGAATTTGTTAACCATTTTAGTCATTTCAATCCGTTGTATCTGTTTGTGACATGTTGCATGTTGATCCTCTATGCAATCTTAATTACAGAACCCGACAGCACAAGTTAGAACGTTCATTCTCAAACTGATTTTAAAAGATATCTTTAAATCACAGTTTGGAATTGAAAATAGCACAAACATATAAATGTTGAGAAATGCAAGCTGCGGATTAGCGATAGCGTTTTTCAGTTTATCACTTTCCCGCTTTGTAATCAAATGGTTTTATGGTAATCAAACTACTAATTAGCTAAATTTGCCACTGAAAAAATATCTGTGGAAAATCAGGATCGGGCCGCCGGGCCCTCTAGGCCGTGGTCCTGCTTAAGGTACGGATAAACGGGCAACAAAAACCATGCAAATTGTCTTATAGCATTGTTGCAAACGAGTTGAATAGCGATGTTGCGATTTTTAACAGCCAAGTTCAAACCCGTCTTGCCGCAAATCAGTTCCTTAACAGGTTTGACCGTGGCTGGTAAAACGCGCAACAGCGCTTTTCAACTCGTTTTCCAGCAATGTTGCAACACAAATTCCAAGTTTTTGTTCCGCTTTTTACCGAAGCTTTAGTAAAACCAAACTAAGTTCTAACTTAATTGCACTTATTGCAATTCCACCAACATTCTTACAGTATTTAATTCTACGGAGAAGACTGTTTGAAACCACGTTTAAGCTTTTTCAAAAAAGCTGCGTCAATATAGCTTTGGTGTGAATGGAAGCAAACCAAAACAATGGCGGCTGAATAGCGTTTTGCTAGCTAAAGTTGTTTTGTCTCTGTATTTTTAACCAACTCGTTGGATGTTACTAAAACAATTTTTTCTCTCGCCTTCATGGCCTCTGAGTCAATAGCCCATTCGGCCCTCGGCTTCATGGGTTATTGACTGAGAGCCCATTCGGGTTCGAGGAATAATTGTTAAATATTTTGCCATACACTAAGCCTCCGCGGGGAACTTTCACCTCGTGTTTTACGTAGAATTAAAATGTTACTTAAAAGTGTCTACAGGCTTCTTAAAATGAACTAGACTTAGTTTTTACACCGACATCACCCGGCAAGCACGCTGTTGCAATCATGGCTTTATAACCTTGCGTCTCTTGCCCCTGACTGACTGGACACTTAACTGAGTTTAATACGAAACCACCACAACTATCCGTCTGACGTTTACGGGCTTAAAGGATTCCAACGGAAAGTGTCGCAGGTGATGACATTCAGTCATCAGTCAATAATATGGTACTGTCTTCTATTGTTGCAAACATGGTCTTGATTCTCGACATTTGTTTAACATCAGACACTCGTATAGTGAAAACAAAATCATACACCTCTAGGACAACTTGACAACAAGGTTAATTCATTGTTCCCACAATGTTGGCCCATCATTGGGGTCGGCAGTCAATTAGCTGACAAGATTTTTCAACGCTTAACCTTTAAGCCAATGTTGTAACAATGATGAATGGGCTGGTTTCCAGCGGGTTCCAATTGTTGGCTCACTCAGTTTTCTGAATATCTCACGGCATTCAGTTGTACCTCCATTATATCTTTACAACAAAGTTTTTACACTGTTACCAGTGTTATAACTACGATGATCTTTATTACCCACAACGTGTTGTCTACAACGCTCTTTGCTGAGGTCCCAGTGCGGATTTGGATAAATTTCCCGGCTCTCCTCTACCACTGAACTATGTTTCTTTCTGTAACGGCGAGTTTTCCTTTGTAAACTGCGAACAACGGAGCTGTTTGCATGTTCATCGTTCACATAAATATCTTTGTTTTATATGGTTATTTTCACAAGCAATTGAATCCAAAGATACTCCACAGCATCACAGGGATACCAACTCTCTAAGGTCATTTTTCAATATTTTTTTTTTACTATTTCTCTTATGACCGCTGATTCACTTTAAAATGATTTGATAGGTATTATCCTCGTCTAAAAGAAAAGAAGAAGTTAGTTTAGAGACAGTATGCCAGTAGTCTCGTTTTGTAAGAAAGTAATAGGACTCACAACTGAAGAAAAAAAAAATATTAGACTGCTCAAACTTTAGTGCCCAGATTGTTCTTGAAAAAGAACTTGCCAACCCAGTGGACTTTACCGCTTAGAGAAGTAAATGAGGAGCTACTTACTGGCAGTTTAACCTGTCTGGTTTAAAGAAGTACTCAGTTTGCCCACCAGTACATACTGTACGATTTCTCACACAAAATATCACGAAAAACATAAAATGTAGACTCAGAAAAAAAAATTGGTAGAAAATACACCGCCCTTAATTCCAATCGTATCCTTCTTTCCCAAATACTGTTGCACTTGTTGCAATACACACAGAACAGTTCCCTTGGTGAAACCACGGAGTAGTGCAAAAAACAAACAAACATATAGTTAAAGGTTTCGATGTTCCCCTATACTGTTCTGAAGTGAGATTTCCAGAGTTACTAATTATAAAATTTTTAAGGACAAAGCTTAGATTGAAATAGTTTTGGGCATACAGCTGTATTATCGGCATTCTTTGAAAGGCGCCAAGACAGGCAAGCCGTGAAATCCTGCGTTAAGATTTAACAGGTCATTTAACGGATTATTGGTTGTTTACAACAACGTATTCACCTCGTACGAGATGCACAATAAAATGCCCTTCGTCCACAAAATTCCGCACCATCTAGAATCAAAAAAAGAAACAGTCAGCCCAGGAAAATAGAACGTTAAAGATAGTAACAATGCCAGGTTTGTTTTTTGCTTTCTAGTTGTCTACTACATATTGTAGCGTTCAATGTTTGAAAACAATTTTCCAGAACCTTTGCGAGGCTTGAAAATGCACATTAATTATTGTTCTTGCAATCCAGCAGCTGCAATTTTCCAGGAAGATCCAGTTAGGAAAATGCCAGAATATTCTTTCTATTTATTTTTCTTTTCTGTAGATTGAACTTTCGGCGTCATTTTGGAGTTGCGCAAGCAAACGAAGCCTAGACGGCTGAAAAGAGGAATATCAAACAATTATTCCTCGAGCCCGAATGGGCTCTGAGTCACTAGCCCATGAGGCCGAAGGCCGAATGGGTTATTGACTCAGAGCCCATGAAGGCGAGAGGAATATTTGTTTTAGTAAAATCCAACTAGTTGGTAAAAAATGTCGAGCCAAAACAACTTTAGCTAGCAAAACGCGCTTCAGCCGCCACTGTTTTGGTCTTCAAAGCCGGCGCTTTTCGCTACTAGTGGGCTATAACATATAGCCTAGTAGTAGCTCAACCAATCAGAACGCAGCATTGATAATAGACCACTAGTTGGATTTTAATAAAAAAGAATAATCTATGACTAAAAAACTCTTGCCAGGATTTCCGGGATCGTATGAAACCTTGCAGTAGTCAGTCAAAAGAAAATGATAAGCGGCGACTAATTTTTGCCAACTTCCAGATGATAAATGCGACTACAATCGACTAGAATAGGTCAGCATATTTGGGTATGAAATGAAGCTAAGCCAATCATACTTTTCACTTCGTGTTTTGTGAAAAATAATGCAGAGTTATCACTTGGGTTTTAGAAGTTGTGTCTTCCGCGAATGGACAAACGCGAGAAGTGAGTCTCGCGGCCTGGCGGCTCGCGCGGTGCGTGTGATACTCCACTATCTTTGACGACAAACGAGAAAAAAGAGGTCAGTTTGATGAAGCTTTTACAAGTGTAATTTCCAAGTGTAGTTGCTATTGTTGTGCCTCGCGACTTGGTCACTAAAAAAAATTGTCAACTTGTGATAAAGTCTACGGTATAAACACTTAGAGGACAAATTGTTGACAGAATCTTTTCTCACCTCATCATCCACAAGTATGTATATTCCTGTCGGACCTTGTCTAAAAGACAACGAGAGTGTTAAGTAAACTGTAAAGTACCAGGTGCGTTTGTGTTGAGGGTAGCCTGTGGGAGAGGAGGGACGAGCACTAAAATTCGCTCAGATTGTGGTCAGACACAAGTCCCAGGAGGTAAGAAAGGGGGAGGGAGAGGGGGCGGGGAACACCTTATACCCACCCTACTGATCACATTTTGTAACTGCCCAATCTTCCCCTGCTTAGTTTCAAAATTTAAGATGGCGACTCCACAAAAACAAACACTGACGGTAACTGGTCGCTCACCCGGAGAAAAATACACACGTTCTGCAAGGTATATTAAAACAAAACATTCTGACAAAAAACAAACAACAAGACGAAACAAACCTACGAACATCGGCAGGGAATGTTAATCCATCCGGGAAAAAAAAAAACATCAAAGTTTGAAGTACTGTACTTGCTAGGAAATTTCACGTTGTGGTCGTGGTGTAATAACGGCGAAAAATGCATCAAAAAGTTTGATGCATGTGCAGATCGATAAAGAGTTGTTGTTTTGCTTAGCAAGCTTATTCCTTTCTTTGCTTTCATCAGTTTCGCACGCTCCCTAATGATAAGCTTTTTCTCCAAGAGCCGTATTAGGTCTATGAAGGAAATTTTTTTTGTTTCCGTGAATTAAACTTGTAAGGTGCGAGAATTAATATACTCGCGGTCTAATGGAAGAACAGCCCTCCAGAAGTGAAATGGTAAGGCGTGTATGTTGCCTGTTCTAGACAAATTTCTAGTATAGACATTACTGTTTTAATGGGAAATTGAGTAAAGGATTAAAGGATTCTATCGTGAGTGCTACAACCAATTTCGCTTAACTCACTACAACGTACCAAAATCCAGCTCAGCATTTTCGCTTGATACGACTCAACTATACTTGCTTACCTGTAAATGGCCACAAGCTGTTCCACGCTCAGATTACATTTCAGAGCAAGCTTTTTTCGAAGTTCACCCAGATTTAAGGCTTCAAGATACATGGCGTAGTACTCCTTCATTCCTGAGTTCTGCTGGGCGGAATCCAGGCAAATATACATCGTTAAAAGTGGACGGGCAGCTCTGAAAATAGTTCAAAAAACCGTGGCCAGTTAATGCAACATTCGAACCAGCCTGTCTTGCGAGCTGATTACGAGCACGGGCCCAGATACCCAGTAACGTAACCTGTTCACGGACCCACTATTTTCTTTCTAGAGATCGTCGAGCGCGCGTTTGAAAACAAAAACCGCGAGGGGTTTATAGACCACTAGCGCAAGGGGGTAGGGTTGGGGAAAAGAGAAAATAGACGGTCGTTCTTTCCTTTTCTTTCTCGCGCTCCACCCTTGTTCCCGCGCTTCGAGCTCACTCTCGCGACCTCGTTTCACTTGCGTGCTTGTCCATTTCGAAAAGAAAAAGAAACGACGTCTGCGTGCAGCCCAACATTAACGCCCTTACTCCCGACCATAATCGGTTCCATATTATCACGAACTTCGTGATATTATATCGCAAAAGTTAACTTTAGATTTCTTAAACATTAACGGATCGTTGAGACACTATGACAAATACTTCAAGGATTGTTTCAACGAATTTTTCCAAAACCTTAGAAGTTGGCTAAAAAAATCTTAGCTGCTCCTTTTTTTCAACACATTATCGGGGGATGTCTGTGTTTGATGTATTACTGACAAAAAGCAACCTTGTGCCCTTCAGGCATTCCGCAAGCTGACGTATAGGTGGTTTTCATGCAATCTCGGGAGACACAAATAACAATGGTGAAATGAACAAATGCTGGTGGACGAACAAAGCAAGCTAATGAGCGATCTTTTGTTTACAGTCCACCAGCATGGCGGCGATGACGTAACGTGAAAACCACCTATATTGATGTCGTTGCTTTCTTTTTTTTTACCTAATAAATACACAACTTAAACTTCGACTAAAAATTGTCGAGCCATTTTTGTCCGACATCTTGTTTGCCCAACGAGCAAACAATGTTTGACCAATCATAAAACAGTGCGACGCTTTGTGCGTATTAGGGACTTTAAGATCCAACGACGCGAGAGCGACAAGAACGTCGCTTAAAAAAGTGAATTTGCGTTCTTTCAGTCTTTATAGCGATTATTCCTACACCCTTACTTAGTCAATTGTAGGTGAACCCTCCTGAAGCTGAATTTCAAGAGATCAAATTCAAGCTCAGAAAGAGAAACAAAATTTCGTCGTTGCTTGTTTACGTCCTCCATAAAACGCAAAATTAGGCATTTTCACGTCGTCGTCGTGCAAAAACGGGAAAGACATGTACAAAAAAGTGTGATGCACGTGCGAAGTTGTTGTTTTGCTAATTAAACCAATTGTTTTTTTGACGTTCTTGTTGTCGTCCGCGTCGTTGGATCTTTAAGTCCCTATTAGCGCTGTATCGACGCGACTGCTTAAGAGCACAATTACCTAGACTGTTCACAGTCCCCTATTTTTTCGTAAGTTCGTCAGGATCGCGCGCTGACCGGTACCGGCGGCCATTTCGGTTTCTTATGTACCGAGAGGGCGGGCGTCGGAGTTTATAGCGCTGGGGGAGGGAGGCGAGAAAAAATAGGGGACTGCGAACAGTGTAACGGAAAAATTAGCTTGAGAAAACAGCCGACATTACCCTTCTGATTGGCTGAAAACGATTCAGCCAATGAGAAGCGCTATACAGATCTTTGTAATGACACGTCATCAGTATGGACTTTCTGCGCTCGTTTCTCACACGTCATTTCGCAGGGAAACCACCGGTGGCGTCGAGATATGTCGGCAGTTTTTTCAAGCTACGGGAAAAAGAGGACTGTGAACAGTCTAAATATCACCTGGCTTGGAGTGAATTATGCAGGCGAATACCATCAGCTGGCCCTAAGATCTGAATCATGTCTTGCTTGGTTAATCTCAAAAGATCCGCTCCTACAAAATAAATAAAAAAAGCAATTACTATTTACAATGCACATTTACAATGCTACCATGTGGCCTAACTAAGATCCTTAACATCAGCATCTTGGCAGAAATCAAGAACTTATAACTTAAGCCAAGAGAGGATATATGTCAAAACAAAAGAAATCCTGAGCTTGACTTCTGAAGGCCATAAAATAGAAAACTGAAAGGCTAATATGCTCGTAAGCTACCCTTTTAAATAACGAGTTGTAATTTAAGGTATCAAATCGTATCGTACGGTACAGATGTTGCAGTTCGATTATAAAATGCTAAAAATAAAATAATGCGAGCACTTAATTGGTCAAAACAAGTTCATTATAATTCCGTAGAGGAAACAGCCTATGTCAGGAGCATGCTTTTATGGGAATCAGAAGAGACCTTCCGAGCAGCTCCTACACAACTGTTTTATGGTGTTGTGTTGACATTTACATGTATAAGCACCTGGATATTTTTAGCAACTTTAACTTCTCTGTTTTCTGAAAAATATTCTACTATATCGCTAGGTTTTCGTTTTTTTTCCGTTTTGTTTTTGGTGAACTCCCGTTAAACATTGAAAACGCTGAGAACGTACAGACTTTCTGCCGCCGAGCAAGGCATTCTTTCCTATCGTAATTCTTATTCGCGTTTTTCTTTGAATTTAATAATATTTTTAGGGTTTTAAAAGACATTTGTAAATGTTAATATTGTATTTTTAGGCTTTTTGAGTGTAATTACAAATTCTTAATGTAGGGTGCTTTTTTAAGACGCAGAGCCCCTATGGAGACCAGCCCTCGAGCTGAATGGGCCACCCTCTTGAAATGAAGTTTTTAACTTTACTAACCTGTGTAATTCACAAACATGGTTAGGTAGTTCTGAAATCTGTTATTCTGCAGCCAGACTCTTGTTTCCTCAACAGTTGACTCAGATGTAAGTTCCTACAGAGGAAAGAACAACGCCCTTACATAAAGACATCCTTCTGTATCCCTGCAGAGTAGCCAGCGCCTACTGTGCGCACATTTTCTGCTTCCTGAGTAGTCAACTGTTAATAATTGAGTCATCCACATGTTCAAAAACTTTAAACTAACCTGAACGTCCGATGCAGAAAAGCAATGACACTTATCTACTCCTTTTTTCTTTTTACTGGTAAGAACAATAATTATCTAGACGTAAGAAAAAGTTGCAGGTTCGAAAATATCCGGAGACTCGGCCGGTGGACTTAGATAAAAACCTTAGACAAAAACCGTTGCTGCACTTTTTCCTGTCTTCAACTAAGGTGTCTGAGACATACGCCTCGAAGGGAGGACTTGCATCCCCTCTAGGAAGCGGGGGGGAGGGGGTAGTAACACATACAGTGTTTCATGCTACTGAAAGCAGGATAAGCTTCGGTCGTATGGAACTCACTGTCCCAAAAAAACCCTATAACTTTTTTGCTGTATTACTGTGTGCAATGAATGTGACTTACCGAGACCGCAGCTATTCCAGTGCTTGTAGGGCTGGACAGTAGGGATGGGCTCGATAACACAGAGCTTGATGTCGACATCACTTGACAAGCTGAAGTAGGTGAAGACATGGACCCAGCTAACGACCTGAATATTATTACACTACACTTAACATGAAATGGATACTGTTGAGTGTTTTAGTGAATAAAATGACCCTGACACCCTGTCATGTGGTCCTTTTAGTGTGACCGTAACTGAAAACATGACCCATGAGAGTGAAATGGCGAGACTATAGCGGTATAAACAATAGCCTGCGAGCAAGCTCTCCATTTGGGGGATATAGTGAAAAGTAGATGCGCGAGAGGCACGCGAGAGGAGCTCGCTCGCTCGCGTGTTCTCGCGCGGCTCGTTTCGTTCGCCCAAACAGGAGAGCTTGCTCGCAGACTATTATTAACAAGACAAGGAAAGGAAAAGCATGCGAGGAAGCTCTCCATTTGGGTGATATCGTGAACAGAAGACGCGTTTGCTCGCAGGCTAGGCAAAGAAATGAGAAGTCACCGGGAGTCAAACCCGCAAATAGCTCACCTCGGTGACATCCAGCAAGAACTGTTGTCATCTTCTTTGCTAAGTGGCAGCTAGAAAAGGCAGCAAAGTACACATCATCAGTGTTTGTTGAGAGATATATCTATATATTGTGATCACGCTGAATTAATGCAGGGTTGCGATTTAAAGGGTAAAAAAAATCCCAGAGTTTGTTCTGACCGATGAACAGTTCTCACCGACATTGCGTTTCGGATCGCAAAATTTGAATTTGCGGTTCAACTAAGTGTTTTCTCAAGATGAAGATGTCTTCTACAAATTTGCACACAGCAAAGGAAATCTATCTTCCTAACTTTTCACTGACTTTGCTATGAACCAAGATTCTCCTACTCTACACACCACCAATTTTGGTGTTGCCACTCACGCTCCACCACAGGAAGAGACTAAGTTTTTCACCAAATTATGCAAAACTCCTTGATCTTTTCCTCATACTAACAAGAATGTCCTTCCTTAAATCTTGCTTTTCTGTATGTAACCTCGTGAAAACAATCCTCTTTTGAGTTTTATTCCTGCGTTTACTCTTCAAGGCAACTCTGGGTTTGGATTTGACATTACCTCTGTTAGTTCAGTGTAGTCCACTGCTGCTCTCAGCTGGTCCTAAAACCGAAATTAAAAATCAAAACACTTACAAAACAGCTTATCCACACACTTCACTGATAAGAGATGGTTTTTTCTAAATTTAGGTGACAACAGCAAAATTATTTATTGTCTTTGGTACACTCAAATGGTTGCCATCTCACCAGCTCATCTTTAGACTTGTGTTCCAACTTTTGCATCTCCACTTTGTGCTTTCTGTCTGCTCCTTTGGACTAAAGCGATACAAATAAAAAACATGAACTTTAATTGAACCTCTTTGCTCTGAGCTACAAATAACAGTCAACAGGGCTTGAAAAAAGTCATCTGTGGTTGTCTGTGGCAACTAGATTTTTGTAATGGGCAAGTTACTTTTCATTTCCTCTACTTTTCATCGCTTTCTTTACTCCGCACCGCTCTCCACTATCTGAACGCTTGGAACAGGCTATCAAGCGTCTGGCAAGTCATCCTCAAACTAAAGCCTAAAGTACATGCAAGCAATGGCATTATCAGTTCCTCATGTTAAGTTAGTACATGTGTCGGACCCGTGCAAGACCTGTTCCTCAGGGGAAGTGCCCTGTGATTAGATTCTCTTAAGCAAACATCTCCTTAATTAACAACCACTAAATCTTAGCATATTGAGTAAAATATATTATATTACTCAAGATATATTAAGTATTAAAATTTGACAAATGTATTCAGACTTAAAAAGGACTCAACTTACTTTAAACACCTTGACCTGGCAGCCAGAGCTATGTATTGGTAGAACATCAGTTGATGAATTGGGCGGAAATGAATCCACTTGCAACCTGAATGGGACACCGCTCTCTCCACCTTAATTAATAATAAAACAATAAAATAATAAATGTCCATGATCAGCAGTTTCAGTAGTTCTGAGTTAAGTGTCATCTTTGCAAACTGAAGCAGGTAGTTTTTTTAGACAATTACTCTGACAATTATTCTGATAAGAACTGACATGAAAATCAAGAATAAAAGCAGGTGACAGTTGCTGCTGGTATCCCCCTTCTCTTGTAACCACAGCATCACTATGTTGTATCTCGATAGTAAGAGAGTTTACGGTGCAAAGGATTGATGAGCCTTCAGACAACAATTGAGCAAGATTAAAAGTCCATTTACAGAAGGCCTAGGGCACTGTAGCCTGCGAGCAAGCTCTCCTATTTGGGCAAGTGAAATGAGGTTCGCGAGATCGTGCAAGCCCCTTGCTGGCCTGGCCACACAAAACTCGCTTTGCTTGCCCAAATATAGGAGAGCTTGCTCGCAGGCTAAGAGCACTGTTAAGGCTATGAATTCTAGTCTGAAGAGCAGGGCTTCTGCTCAGATTCTCTAAATGCCAGATTAAAGTTATGCACAGTGCTAAAGTAACCTGGTTTGCAGAGAAAGAGTAGAGGTAGATTTTATTGATTATAACTCATTATAGCATGTAATCTGCATCATCATCCAAACAGGTGGAAGTGTATTCTGTTCTTCCAATATGCTTACCACTTTTCCCCTTAGTGAATTCTGAACTAACGCAGTTGATCTGCAACACAGACATGAAATGAAATAGAGAGATCAAGTTTCTTTACATGAACTGGTCATTAACTGTTCATTGTATCTACACAAAAGTAATAGTAGTTTCACACCAGTTTCATCCATAAGAATTAGTTTGGACAAATTTTATATCCCCATTTCCGTAATTTTGAGAAACTGCATGTTATGTTATAAAATCATGCTGATGACACTTGATTGACTATAGTTATCATTGCATTGCATTATCATTGTTATGATTTGTTTGTTTGTTTGTTTGTTTTATGTTTAAGCTTTTGCAATACCGTAACTACATAGTTATAGTCATGCAAATAAAGCTTATGTTGTTGTTGTTGTTGCATGTTAACTTTGGCGTTTGCTGTTTGCTATGAACTTGATTCTTTAATCTCTCTGATAATAAGAATGACAGAATAGCCATTCCTACTTAGATAAACCTCCAACCTCTTTGTGTCCTTAAATTCAAAGTTATGTGTTGGTTCTGACTCATGAATAACTCAGCACCTGAAGAGGGCCTTTGATTTTGTTAGTGACCAACACTGGAGATACATGTAAGTTAAGATACCGTAAAATTCCGAAAATAAGCCCCAGGGCTTATATTTTTCAAAGGCCCTTTTTGACAGGCTTATTTGTGGAGGAGCTTATCTTCGGAGGGGCTTATCTATGGAGGGAAATTTGCGTGTCAAAACCGTTTGGGTTAGCCTTATAGTTGGAAGTAAATTTACCGTTTTTGCTTTGTTTTACTTTGTATTTGAGGGCAATTTTCCACGTACAAGCCCCCGGGGGGCTTATATTTTGGAGGGGCGATTTAACAGAGGGTTTTTTGCGTTACCGGTTTGGGGGACTTATATTTGGAGGGGCTTATTTTCGGAATTTTACAGTATATGGTAACACTACTTTCAAAAATTACTGAAAGTAGTGTTACTGTATATCTTAACCTACATGTATCTCCACACACATAATAGTACTTACAATGACATAAAGTTTGGACTCCTTTTGTGGATCCCACTCAAATTCATAACAGTTCAGTAAGTTTCCTTTGCTTCTGATATTGTAAATACCACTTGACATAGGAACATCTGCAAATTTTAAAGTCGGAGGCAAATAAACAGAAATTTGTAACTGAAGATGGACAGGCGTATAGCAGGAATGAAAAAAAGGTTTTTCAGTATGTTGGCTCCTGACACAGGAAGTGTCTGCTTTAGGGTGGTAAAAAGTGCAGTGTTTCTGTGTTTGTGTGATGAGAACCTCTTGGATTACATTTTATTAACTGAGAATATGTTTTACCTATTTCCAAAATTCTATCTGCTGGCCTGTTACTTTTCCATTCTTCATATTTTTCAGATTCTTGCACTTGAAGTTTTCTTTCATAAAAGCAAAGCTTGACTACACTCTGGAAAATTAATGTAAATTCAAAGTAAAAAAGCATCATTATTACAAAAAGCATTTTCCGCTGTTTAACCATATAACTACACAATCTAACAAAAGGTGATGACTGAGACTAACATACTGTAGCTTGACAGAAACTTTATCACTATTCACAAATGCACTATTTTACATAAATGCACTGAGCAACAAGAATTCGTCAGACAAGTTTTGCTGAAGACAGATGCCTGTTAGAGCAAAGCACTTGCCCAGATCAGAGGAGAGGAAACTGTTCAAAAATACAACACAATACAATATAACGACACTCATGTAGTTTTTAGCATGGAGTTAACTTAATTTAGCTTGATCAGCTGGACTACAGGTCACCCATAACTCACAGTCAACATATTAGATATAATAAATTTTTGTTCTGATTATTCAGTAACTGCTTTGGAAAAGGAAATTTTAAAAACCGTCCTGTCTGCTAGTATGAAATCTTGTGTATCACTAAGGAGCTTATAAAAGTATGCCACAAAACACAAGATATGTAGAAAACCTGAGGTAAGGTAACTTACCTTAATGTATAGCCCCTCAAACTCTGCTGCTTTGGTTGGAACACATGTTAACTCCACCAAATAAGACTGTCCTAATATGTAGTTTAACAGACAATGAACATTTTGTAAGATATTTTACAATAACTTCTTTATTACATTTCCCATCCCTTCCCTCGCACTTCCACACAAAGAATGCCTATAGTTACTTTAGGATGACAAGTTTGAAAGAGGAAACAGGAACTTCAAAGTGGCTGGATTTGCCTTTTTGTATAACTACAGTAAGGATGAGGGAACCAGATTACAGGAGGAAAAACCTCTTGGCCAAAGGACGAGAAATAACTCAGCAGGACTTGAACAAAGGCCAACATGGGCGGAAGGTAAGTGCTCTCATATTACTGCACCACCATGCTAGCTTACTCTCAGGAACTTGTTTGACGACATTACTTCACGAATTACCCTAATAGAAGCTTCAGCATGCACCATACACGTACCTTGATTCAAATATGTGAGTGAGTCCTCTTCAAGCTTTTTTGTTGGAGACGTTGGAGCTCTCAGTACATGAAAGAATCCACAGTTCTGACTGAAAACATTTCAAAACCAAAGTGAGATTAACATGGTGTTTACATATTAAAAAGAAGATGGTCTCTTATAGTTTTAAAAAGAACACATGTATGCCTTACTTTTTTGTAATATGATCACACAAGTAACATTAAGCCTGTAAGTTTATTGCCATTTGAGATGGCAAATACACTGGAGCTGAATAATAATTGTATAAATAAAAAAATTTTTAAAAATTGACATCTTATATATCAGACGAAATAAAGACCTGCTTATAATTATGACCCTTGTATTCATAGAGTGAGTCAAGGTGTTGTGAGCTCAATTGTCATTCTAACTTTTGCATTAAATTTTGTGGATGAAATCCTATGTTGTTACCATTCAAATGAATCCCCTTTGGGCAGAACTTTTGCGTAAGACTATTATTTTATTGTATTTATCGTGTCTTCATATTATTTTTCAAGTTGGCTCAATATGGTTTGCAGCCTATTTTCTGCCATTCTAAAAACAAGTGTTACTATCAGGGATCAATGCTAAAATATGTTTTTTTTTAAATTATGAATTATTGATGTTGCAAAGAGTGTTAAAAAATAACATTGTTATTGAACTGTTTATTTATACATTGAACTGATAAATATTCTGATGTCATTGTGTATTATCCGAGACACATCATAGCCTCAATTGCATGTTAGACTTGCGCCTATATCGCGATGTGATTACTGTGAATGTTGTAACACCAGTTGATTCAACAAAGAGTTATTGAAGAAATGCTGCAACCACTGTGAGACAAGGCTACTACAACCTTAATTGACTCTTTCCTTTAAGCCCCAATATCCACATGCAAATTCTCCAGACTGATCTCTACACATTTCCTTTAAGAATTAGTTATGAGCATTTGATAAAAGATCATTGAAAGCCTTTCGCCTTTGCATGTGGATCATTTTATTATTTCTCACAGCTCTTGATGATGTATGCACATTGTCAGGAGAAAATTGATTTTGGTTGCTCTTGGGAATTAACTTACTGCACTTTTCATAAACACGCAAATTCTGAAGTTCAAAAGCCAACTGGTGTGTGCATTATTTGCTGCCGTCAATCATCTCAGTGGACCTCTTAGGAAACATAAGTTTAGTTCAATGGGTTCAAAAGGTTATAGTACATTTACATACACATACATTTTATTTTATTGTATTTTGAAGTAAGAGTACAATAACATGCCCGCGGGTAGCTAAGCTAATCTAGGCGGGTCATGTTTACAGAAAATAAACTAAATACAGCTAAAAGTAACAAGAGAACTAAAGAAACTTAAATTGACAACAATGACTAGAGATACACTAAATGATATTAATGATTACATATCAACTAAGAGGAAAATAAATTCAGCTTAACTTTTTGAATGATTTCTGGGAGATCAATATAACAGTCTTCTGAAGCTAGGATCTCAAAAAGTGTTTGTTTTATTTTCCTCTTAAAGGCATTTTTTGATATATGATTAGTGGACTTCCATTTGTTTTGTGTTGTGTGTTTCTGTGTTTGAAGGTTCGTTGCTTGTGATCATAATTGTGATTGACAGCAGCGAAAATCGTAACTGTGAAGGCAGCTTTCGAACTTCAGAGTTCGAGTGTTCTGAAAATAGCAGCAAGGTTCTGGAACCTACCCATTCTCCAAAGTTCCAACAGATGACATCTGTGATGACTGAGCCCTGATCGCTTCCTGTTTCACTGATTGCATAGAGGAATTCATTGGAGAAGAAGATGAAACCTCTACATTCACCCTAAACAAGAATAGAGATCCATATTTTGAAAGGAAAATATTCTTATTGGACATAAGTGAGAAAAAAGGGTTATTGGAAACAAGGCTGCAAAGACTAAAAATATGCCGATAAACATTCAGGCAATACATCTGTGCCCTGTTCTTTCCAAATCATCATGTCCAACAACATACATTTAACATGCAGGGGTACCCCTTTAACTATACATTATTTTATAAAACTTGATACCATCCCTGTTTAAATAAACTGGTTGTTTTATGATAGAATGAGAACAGAAATAACATGCGATCAGAAAGACTGTAGAAGAATAACATGTCGTGGAGGGTATAATCTGATGATTATAATAATATTTTAAGTTGGTTCTAACTTTTCAGTCTGTGGAAAAAATCCTGTGAAGTTACCAATCAAATGTACCCAATTGGAACACCAGTTTTCTCTCTTGGTGTTATAATTATATGTTTTTCTGCATTATACAAAAAGCAAACTACTTGTCAGACATGCACAAATTGAAAAAGAGTCTAGAAAGAAGATGGGGAACTGAAGAGAGTAAGGAAGAAATGACTGTTAAATAATCTATTATCCAAAAAAATTCACTGTTTTCTAAAGTGATGAGTGGTTTTAAAGGTCAGTATTTGGTCCTTAATGTGTGACCAAGATAAAAGTGTTTATTCTAAGGCTCACAGTTTTTGCTTTTGCTTTAGCGGGTTTCTTTCTGGTATAGGTGGTTTTTTAAATGTGGCTAAATGTAATTTAGGTAAGGTTAAACATGAGACACTGCTCGTCAGCGGTCTCCACTACTTATCATATGTGGGGTGGTCTTGGGCTTAAGGAGGGTTTTAGTAATAATATTTTACAGCGCTTTCGCAGAAGTCAATCATTTTGCTTACATTGCCTTTGAGTATAGTTAGCTTTATTAAGCTGTTTTGCCCTCAGTTCTCCCTCCCCTCCCCTTTGGATGTTTTTCTTGGTAAGTATCTATGCATTTCTCCACTCAGGTTCTCAGTGTGATGGTGCCGGGTGGGTGTGGCTCACAGGGTTGTCATGGTTACCTTCTAGGCACGCTTGCAGCTCCCTTTGGTTTTATCAGGCATCTTCCCCACACCCATATTGTCAATGGGTTTAAATACAGTGTATGTAACTAACTTGTACAAAGTTGTTTGAACTGCTGACATTATTGGCACAGCTGGATAGTTTTTAGCAGTGTGTGACTGACTTGGTACATGCTACAAGCCATGTCAGAAAGGCAGAGAGCATACCCCTTTTTATTTGGACAAAATCAGAGGGTCACTTAAATATGGCATGTCACATGACAGCTTTCAGTATGAGCAAATATAGATGCCTTAACCCAAACAAACTATTTTGTTGGGTACGGTGTTTCTGATGCTTTGTTAAAATTAAACCAAAAACACCTGAAAAGAGCTGGACAGTGAGAAAATGCTGTTGAATTTCGCCTGTAAGGTAAAGGCCAAAAGCTGTAACACTTGTCAAGCAGCAGACAACATATCCACGGCTATTTGAAGTACAAAGACAATAAAAAATGAACCTGCTGCTTGTAGAACAGGTGTATAGCATTTTACCATGACCACTTTAACAGACAAACTTATTCATTACATCACACTTGATACTCTAGATAATCACACTCTATACTTTGTTGTTTAAATGAAGTACACTTACTCAGCTGAAGAGTCCAGATCTATGGTTTCCATATTCTGAAAGACTGCTGAAGGTTCATCCTTAAAAATGGGCAAGTTAAGAACATCACTGTGAAAACAAACAAATAACGTCAAGGGCTTATTGCATCACAACTTAACAACAAGATCATCTTTGAAAAAACATCTCTGACCTACCACCCAGTGCCCCTCATGGAGAAGGCAGGTCCGTGCTCTAACAGAGCCTGGTCGCCCCTCATGCCTAACTTTTGCACTCGGGTTACTAGAAAATCTTATTTTTTCATACAAAATATATGCTGGGCTCTCTAGATTTCACAGATTCAGAGTACTGGGTTCCCTTCAGGTTTATTTTCCTTAGAGCACGGCCTTGGGAAGGGGTACACCCTCACCTCGCCTTAATAACCAAAAACAATACTCTTTTACGGGTCTGATTATTAAACACGGTACTGTATACAATAGTTCAGTTTCTAATTAAAAATTACAGCTGAATGCAAACATTAATGTCACATTCATGCAGGGTTTAGCCTCGACGTAAAGTAAAATATTCAGAAATTCTGGCAACTGAGTGTTTGAAATTTGAATATACACAATAGACAGAATAATAAACAGGTATTTTTCTAGTTGGAATTTATAAATACATAACTTCAGATGGAGGCTAAGCCTGTAAAAAATGCATCTTCACTTCTTTAATTCAGCAGTCATAGCGAACTCAAAACTGGACTATTTCAAAAATTTACTGTCTTGAACCGGGTGTCTTTCTGGACCAGAAGCTTTGAACAGGATGTGAAGGTGCAGAGTAATCAACTGCAAAGCCAACTTTTAAAATCTAATTCAAAGATGTAAGTTCAATTAAACCTGTGTGCAAATTGTAATGAATCCAGGACACAAACGTAGGTTTTGTCTTAACTCATTTCCCACAGGTCCTATAAATATCGATCTCTATAGATCAACATAAAAAAAAAATTCTAAAAAATTTGTTTTACTTCTGATTGCTACCAAATTTGGCAAACAGGGAGTAGACTGTTTGAGCCATTCACCTGGCTAGTTTCAGCCCCCGACCATGGATATGCTCATCACGGCAGTTCTTTGAAAATGGTGAAAAGTGGCTGGCGACACAGGAAACATTTACAATGCTGTTAGTGATCAAGAAATGATTATCGCAACAAATTTTGACAGTTGGTACCTTTAACAATATTTCTACATGCCATTTGGCTTCTCGGCTACTGAATAACTGCAAAAATTGAGGCGAACGTTGAGTGAAAATCTTAGCCTCTCATTTCACAGAAGAGTTCTGCCAGCCATGGGTTTTTGAAATGCGATGAAATGTGTCTCAATTTGGCTATTAACCCCAAAAGGGAATCGTTCCCAAAAAAATACACATTTCCCCTCCTAACCCCCTCCCCCACCCCCTGAAAAAACATGATGGATACAAAAAAAGGGGAGAGAAACTTGAAGGTGAAAAACAGGACGTTTCCACACATGGTGTGAAGAAAGTAAAGTTTATACCTTCTGACTTTTAAGGGAAATTTTACATTCACAGTTCACAGCTGATCGAAGGAAACAAACGTAAGGAAAGATACAACGTATCAAATGACAAAAGGACCTCGGAAATAATACAAGCCATAACGATCACGACAGTTTTTAAATTACCTAAGTCCACACATCAAACATTTCAATGAAAAGGTGATACTTTTCACTCTGAATCTCCACGGTTTTTTATTACTTAACAACTGATCTATTAGGCTGAGGAACACACATGTAACTCCTATGTAAACGCTGATGATTGGTTTTACGGTCTTGCTTTCACCTGTTTTGCATGTACAAGCCAATACTATTTCCAAGCCAATGGAAAAAGTATTGTAGGTTTTTTTGTATGTGGTGGCATGTTAGTTTTGGTACCTCATGTTATATGCTCCATCTGTTCCAAATTCATTGCCCAAGCCAGAAAGATTTAACAGTTCCGAGGCCAGCCCACCATCAAGTCCGCCATCCATGTCGTCGATTCGCCAACTCGTATGACTCGCCATTTCGGCGATTTACACGCCGTTTAGCCTCTGGAACGCATCAACTGCAAATGATCAAATCTGCGACCTCTACAGGCCTAAATGCACAAGCTTTCACCGAGAGAAATGACACAAAACCGCTGTAAATTCACTGGAATGACAGGTCAACACGCTTGAAAGGAACTAGCACATGTCTGTCGAGTGATGAGGATTGGGACGAGACAAGCCTCGGTGTCATGCATGACTTTGCGGGAAAATTCGGTTTGTTTACATTTTTCCCCGGGAAAAAAATACGCAAAAATGAACAATTTTATAAACAAACCAAATTTATTTTTAGGTTGGTATTGCGACAAAAGGCCAATACAATCAACTTCACCTTGGGACTGCCAGTTAGCGAGTCAAAGAAAAGAGTTATTTGACATGATGCAGGCGCGAGTTAAGCGTGATCGCAGGTTATTTTAGACAGGCACTCTGCTCAAATAATTTCAAACAAATTTAACAGGATTTTAATAAGCCGGGAATAAATACCCAGCTTCCAAGAAAAAAAACAGTTGCCTACATACAAGCATGAAAACTTGGGACGCCCGTGAAGCAACTCCAGTCCAGGAATAGATGCGAGACTACACAGTAAAAACCAGCAAGTAAGAATCTGTATTTTCCCAAGTTACAAACGAACAGGATCTTCATAAATGGTAATTAGAACAAATTTAATGGCAGCCAATTGCTGATGTCATGTGGAACTGCCAATCATAAAAAATGATAAAAACGAAATAAAAAGCAACCCTAAGAAAAAAGAATAAAAAGAATGTTAATATGATTACACAATCACCAAAAAAACAGTTATTCATCTTTCTAAGTGTTCATTTAAAAAATAAATAAACTTGTCCACGTCCTTATTGTAATCGTTGATAGTTCCTTTGGCAAAGGACACTTTTCTCGGGAGACTTTTGTTACGTTTAAGTGCAGTTTTGAAAGCTTCAATATCAATAACAATTTATTATTAATAAAAATTTCATTTCATTTTCAACATTGGCATTTACATTGCAGATGTTAGCACCTATGTCTCCAAAGAAGGATCTTGCAAGATCCTCTTTTTTGAATTTTGACTTATCTTATGTGCACAAGTGTATAACAACCTGTTTCAAATTTAAGGCTAAACAGGTTCTTATATATGTTACTGGTCAAATTTGATTTCAGGTTAAATTTTTTTAACCTAGGTTGATTCTCAATTTCCCTTGTCTCTTAGCCCTAATTATTCATGAACTAGAGCTAAGAAACAAAGGAAATTGAGAATCAACCTAGGTTAAATCACTCAACCTGAAATCAAATTTGACCTGTAACATATACAACATATAGAAGGGGCCTAACTGGAACATTTCAGCCTAGCACTCAGGTGAAAAAAACCCGGTTTATACGCGGCGTCTCCCCTTTCTCACGTGGGATGATTTTCACGGGCTCTTGCGTTTCGCTTGCTCTACTATCCCTGAGGGAAAATGAGGGACTGCCCGTTGTCTATACTGTATTCGGGAGCGTTGGATTGCGAGACCCAGTCGCTAATAGCCTGCGTTGCAGCCGGATTTGTCACTCGAGACCTGGATGGAGAACTCCATAGAGTTTCTATATAGGGAACTCGGATCGGAGATTTAGGCTGTCTGTGACGCAGACTGAGGCGCTGACCACTCGGGCCAAATATGCACACAAACGTGTTGCCGCAAATGATTTTTGGACCATTTGAACGCTGCCGTACATCGCAATAGTTTATTTCAAGTAGATTTTTAGACATTGAAAATAATGCATTGAATACCTATCCAAATAATTTCTAGAGTTTATTTTATTAAGCCCCGTGCATACCGACGCAATATTGTGGGCCAACACCGTGCTGAACTTCCAACATTGTTGGATGTTACATGTTGCGTCCGTTTGCACACCCTGTCGGTTGCATGTTGTCGTGACAGAGTGTTGTTAGGAACGGACGCAACAACTCCTAACATTGTTGGCCCAACAATGTTGAGAGTTAACGTTTTTGCGTGCTTTTGCACGTAGCTTCATTCTTATTTCCGGGGATACTGTAAACTGGTCGAACACGCCCTTAAAGGTTTCTGGGTGTTGCGGACGGGTGCAACCGCCAAATGACGTAATACATGTACAAAGATTGAAAAAATATTGAAGAATACCCACAAACCCACACCACAACACAAAAGCGAACCAACAAATACGCCCTAAAAGGGGAGGGTTAGGTGGGCAGTTTCTTAGAAACGGTATAATGATCCGGTCATAATACACCTTATTTGGCCTCCAAAATTTTTCATAACCTTTGTTTTTCATTTCTTCTGGGTATTACAGCCTTCTCAAGAGAAATCGAAAACAATGCTTATGCAAAATTTGGGGGGTGGGGGGGCAAATAAAATAAGGTGCATTATGGGGAGTATGGAAGTGGCGTATTATACGTTTCTGGGAAACTGCCCACCTTCCCTTCCCCTAAGCCAACATTTTACCCTAAGTCAGATACGTGTTAATGTTGGCTTAGGGGAGAGGTAGGTGGGCAGTTTCCCAGAAACGTATAAAGATAGTGGTTTTCAGTCGATCCTCCAATTTCATGCGGTATGACTTTGACAAAAACTTTATTTTTACACGACATTTCTGGAAGAAGTTACTTGCTCTATAGAGTACATGTATTTAGAAGTTCAGTAACCGTCACCGTCTTGCCCCCTTTGTCTTTGTTTTGTGTTGTTGTGCTTGTTTGTTTTTTTTGTTTTATCACATTCATGTAGCGTGTAGAACCCCTGGTACGCATAAGCCACTTGGATTTGTAGTGATCCCGCCCGTAATTTCTCGAGCCGTTAGGTCTCTGAAATGACATTGTCTCTGAAATGACTGGAAATACGATTACAATTCGTATCTGATAGTAGAGCATATTCCTAGTCATTTTATGGATTGTAGTTTGTGAAAAACAGACAACTCCTTAAAAAGTGTCAAAACTCTCTTTCAGTTTGATGGTCCATTCTTTGTATGCCTCTTGCTTCTATATTTCTAGGAGCACGCCGATCGGAATGTTAATATATTTATAATTTTTAAAAAGTGTTGCTGTGAATGGTCGCGAATGATAATTGCTGTTGTGAAAATTGGAAAAAAGACTTTTTCTATATGAGTGTCATTTAAAGCCAAAAAGAGTGTTTCAATTCCCATATTATATGGTTGTCGTTTATACCCCTGGCTTCATATATAGGTCTGTTCTCCCAAAATTTGCACGTCAATTTGCACTTCGGTTTAAGAAAAGGCCCAGAAGCAGTTTTTTTAAGTTCCTTGAGCTTGTTAACCCCTCGAGCAGAGCTTTGCCGCTTTGAGTTCCACACAAAGGTTAAAACTTTAAAGTACTGCAACATACAATGGGAATACAAGACAAGTTCACTCAAGATACTGCTTCCTTTAATACCTTAGGGCTTTAAGTCAGGGCTCTAAGAAAGAAAGGGAACGGGAAAGGAGGATTTTATGTTTTGATTTAAAAGAATTAAAGATTTAATCATATGCTCAGAATGTAGTTTAAGGGATACCTGGAGAAAAGCCCTTATTCCTGTATTCAGGAGGTTTGACAATAATACAGATGACCCCCTGTAATGCACTGGACACTTTAGGCTCTGTCTAGTTGGTATCTATGATAAGGAGATGTCGGTGACCATAATACAGATACCTCAGTAAAGCAGACATTTGATTCTGTTTCTTTAGTGTCCATATTGTAATACAGATGACTCTGTAATGTAGACACTTGACTCTGTCCAATTTGGTGTCTGCATTACAGACAGTTGACAGCAGTGTCACAGTAGTCGCTAATGACAAATCAGAAAGGCTTACCCAACAGTGGCATTTGTGAAGTGCACCCTTTTTAACTGACTGATATCATGTTAGCTCTGAAATAAGCATAATACTAGCTACGTTGTCGTTAAGGTAATGCTTATGAGTTATTCAATCAGTGATTAATTCTTTCTCCTCCAACTGCTCATGACTGTTCTTAGATTCACTGTATGTTTTATTTAGACTTTGCAGCCGTTGGTCTATTTCATTTCGAAGAGTTAGAAGGCTTGTTTCATCCAGATCTTGAACCAAGATACGAACGGCAGACACAATATTTTGATTCTGAAAAGAAAGAGAAAAACAAATTTGTGTTAATAAAAGCTCAGGTGTGGTTCATTTAAAATATTGTGCTACTACTGTGCTAGCCTTGCTTGATGTAGCATGACTTGGCTTCAACGGTTAAATTTAATAATAATAATAATAATTTTAACAGTTTCATCAACTTTTAAAAATGTCTTCCACTTAGTTATTCCAATGCACTCATAAATATATATAAAATGAGTTTGGCTGCCAATTTGTTTCGTTAGATTTGATCAATTATTGAAGTAGTTCAGCACAACTGCAGCACGATGTTTGAGATAAGCCTTACTTACAAAAGAAAAAAAACTCACTCGAGAATCGCTGGAATTTCCAGAAGCTTTCTTCTCAGCACTTGTTGTTGTCATGGCTGCAGTAGTATTGGCATGATCGTCCAATAAAAGTGGTTTGAGTCCTAACTGAGCTCGAAGTTTACTGTGAACAAAAAAGAGCGATAAACAAGAGTACTTCTTGTGATTTTAATTTGCTGTTTTTTTTAATACCTACAGCTAACCCCTTTGGAGAATAGGATGGAAACAACGTTTTACATGTTTTCGCAGCTTCACTTCTCATTTGCCCACTTGCCATCTAACCTCTCACAGCTTTAATTTGCTGCCAATTTGTGCTCTCAGAAAACAACACCAACAGTTAAACAAGCTATTATAATATCACCGCTTATTCCAACTTTTTATTTTACCAGGTCAGTCCTTTGTTTTGCTGTACCTCTATGTAACATGGCTGACCCATCCCATCATTGTACAAGGATCATGAAAGATGTGTACCACATTGATGAGCAGAATTTTGTTACGTAGGAAAAATACCAGTGAAACATGCACTGACTGTAAGGATAGACTTACTTGGTTTCATTTACTAAATTGTCATGTGATGGCTCAGATTTATCATTTTCTGTCAATAACAATGAAATAAGTAAAATAACATAAATAACACAAAAAAAGAAAGCAATACAGTTAAAACTAAGTATTTACTTTTTTTACAGATGGTCGCCTCATGACCACCATGTTTATAAAGCCATGTTTTGGGGACAGAGTGAAAGGTTTGAACCCAGGAGTCATTTCATATGGAGGTGGAATGTGGTTGTTATGGTAAGTGTAGTTTTGATTGGATAGGACTGTTGTTGACAGGGACTGATGTTTATAAAAGCTGTGGGGAAGTCACCTTTACAACCAGCTTTGTTATTATGATCATATTCCTTCAATCCAAATGAAGACTATTCTCAATCATTTTCTTGCCTGAATACAGCCCTTGGAGTTTCAAGAAACTGCCAAACTTCCACCTTCTTTGTCTTTTCCTTATGAAATGAAATACTGTATTTTTTTTTTCATGTATTTACATTTCTACAAATAATTGCAACTTAATCACCAATCAAGTCATTTAGGGCAATTTGCAAGTAATTATTAAAGGTAACATTGGTTATATATTGTTACAAGTCTTTACCTGCAAAAATCTGTGGATTGTCATCTCTTGCAACATCAGTTTTAAGAGTATTCTAAAAAGCAAAAACAGATACCATATGATTATGAAATTAGTCAGCAACCAGCTTCTAACAACATCCCTACATGTTCCAATATCTAAGACTTTAAGACGGAATCCATCAGGAAATTGAGTAATAAATTTATTTTCAGCGGACAAAAACCTTGTACCAGAATAACTGAAACAACATTGCACTCTTTTTTACATTTTTCAAGGGCTATAAATATAATTAGTTACATGTATCTGTAATAACACCAAAGACTATTTCTGATGGGAGCCCAATAAAATAGATGTCAAATTTCACAAGAATTGTGAAAACACAGGTAAAATTCTGAAAATTTCACGTGTAAGATGTCATTTTGTGAACTTTGACATTTATTTTCTCGGGCTGTCATAGGAAATTTTCTTTGGTGTTATTACAGATAACTAATTACACCTATAGCCCTTGAAAAAATATGTAAAAAAGAATGTGATATTGTTTAAATTATTCTAGTACAAGGTTTTTGTCCACTGAAAATTAAATTTACTCAATTTCCTGATAGATTATATTCTGTCCTAATTAGATTTCCAATAGCCAGGCAAATTCCCAGCCTTTGGCTGCCATAGCAGACGTAGCAAATCAAAAAGAAAACAATATTGCCCACGAGCAGGGATAACCTGTGATGGAATTATGACATATCAGAAATCCAATTTAATTTACCTTATCTGCTGTGGCAGTAAAGTCAAGGTAAAATGGGATGTCTTCAGGGGTGGGGATCTCCTGTCCCTGTTTTGATGCCTCAAAAACTTCTGCCTCTTCAACAACTGTAAATGAAAATCAAAGAAAACAAATTTTAAAGCTGTTTAACCCTTGAATAACAAGAGTGACCAAAATAAATTTTCTCCTGTCATATCATTATCAATAAAGAAAAGTATTCATTATCAATAAAGAAAAGTTTATAAGAGTTAATAAAATAATGAGCAACTGGTAAGTCAGTGAAACAAATGCAATAAAAGGTAATTACAGTGAAGTTGAAGTTGTATACCAGCGTAAATCTTTCTAGATGTGTTGCATTTCAAACTGCCACCCGGTTAGCTCAATTGGGTAAGCACTCAAACCCAGGCCAGACCAACACTCAGGGTCTTAAGGTAACTGAGGAGAACATGCTGCCTTTGTTGTGACATCTACAAATGGTTAGACATTCTAGTCTTCTCAGATAAAAACAAAGACTGTAGGCCCAACCCCACAGCTCTTCCACTGTTCTGATTTTCATAAAGAGTAGGAGGCGTGGAACCCTGGTGGTGAAGTACAACCTTTCATGGGCTGGGTGAGTAATGGAGGGGTTGATATCAATTGGGATGCAAGTCCTGTTTCATCCCCTGTCACTGTGTTGAGTCACCATGGAGAGTCCAGGGCTGCAAATAATTTCCCGGCTGGAGCCGGTCAAATTGTCCGATCAAACCTATTTTTGCTCGGACATATCCCATCTTTGGCCGGACAAACATCGATTACGTCTTGTTGCTATAAAAGTGCCCCCTCCTCCCTTCACATGATGTTAATTTAAATATGAAACAAGTAAATTTTCAAAGCATTTATTATACATGGGCATCGATCTCAATGCAGGAAAAGTGGAAAGCATGGTACAGCAAAAGTGCGTCCTACCATTGCTTCAGTTCTGCGTCTTATATACGGTTAGTTATGAAGTTGATGAAATTGACTGAGGCTTGCAATCTAGTTGATTTTAAATGTTACCGGAAACAGGGAAGCTATTTGCCTAAGATGCGTGATTGAACTTTTAAAATACAATAATGGAAGAGTTATTTTAGACATCCGAGGACATCATCTTGCGGAAACGCAGTTTGGACATATAACAAGGGAACCCCCGGATGCACTGGAAAGGGTTTTTGAAGACGTTGATGACTATGTTCACATGTTACCTGTTAAACTGAACTCGTTACATACCACATTGACAACATTTGTAAAGGATTATCGCAAATACAATTTCTTTCTAATCCATTGTGTTTCGCCCTGTCAACGGTGAAACTTAACTGGATTTGTGCTTCAGTCAAGTTTGAGAAGAATTTTTCAAATATTTTGTATAAACAACCCACGCATCATGCGTGACACGTAACACAATGAAATCTGCAGTCAATCGTTTGAGATGAATTGCGTATTTAGACCTATTTAGGCCAGGTAAAGTTTACATGTTGTCATATCTGAATTTACTGCCAAAAAGGTTTGCTTCCCTAGAAAATAGAATGTTTAGTTAATCGCGGTATTTATAGCTTAAGTGATTAACACGGAAATGTCGACAAAGTAAACAAATGAATGTAAACTTGCTTTCTTGTTATTGTTATTTTCACACTTAAATTTTGAAGACAAAGGGTGCCATGACCCTTGTACGGACATTGAGAGGTTTTGTTGTCCTTCTCACATCATGTTTACAAAACCCACACGGACTACTAATAAAGTAATTCACACCCGTGACCGGTACACATTACCCTGGGTACCAGAGGTTTTTTCACGCGTGCGTGGGGGGAGCTTCAGCATGTTCGGACCACATCTTTAAGACCCACTAATTTGCGGCGACGGCTTGGTGAATGACAAAGCGAAAATGTGCAACGACAGCCGGAAATTTTATGACTACTACGAATCATTTATTAAAAGTTCTTGGTCTGGTAGTTAAGTATCCGTCTTTTCCCCTCCTTTTTCACAAACGCCAATAATATTGAACCTTTAAATATTTAAAACTTGAAACTCTAAATTTTTTCCTTACCAGCGTAAACGACCGGACAAATTGTCTGGCCAACTAAGGATTTGCCCGGACAAAATCTATTTTTGACCGGACATTGTCCGTTGACCGGCCGTTATTTGCAGCCCTGGAGTCACTGTAGCAAATTTCAATAACAGCCACTCAAAACAATGAGCTGACTAAGGTGGATTTGTCATATTGGTGCAAAATATTATACACGGTGGAACCCCACACTATGGTCACCCACTTACCAGCAATGTGGACATCAGTATGTAACAGACAGTGTTGTTTGTCCCAACAGAATTAATTTTTAACCCGATAATTACTAGTATCTTAACATATGTTGTATACCGTAAATCCTCTATTAAGCCCCCCACTTTCCAGAGGAGAAAAGTTAATAAGCTCCCCCTCTCTGTTAAGCAATTATATTTCTTATTGTAAGCTCATATATTCTCTCCAAAATTAACCCACTTAATAAGGACAACATTTTTCTGTATCCTGAGTCAGATTCACAGATTATCGTCAACCATGTTTATGGACACTGATTACCCAGAGGAGGATCGAATAGTATCCCATGATGCATTTTTCCAGAAGCATCACGCAATATCGCAGTCATAGCAGCTTCCATCTTGAAATAAGGTCGTTTTCTCGTCTGCTTTTTTCTCACTCGGTTTCCAGTAAAAGTAAAAAAATTACGTTATTTCGTTATTTGACATGATTTCTCCGATTTGCAATGGCTTAAGAGCGAAGTTTCCACTTAGAAACATTTATTTTCACGGTTTCAATTAGTCTTCCCATCACAAAGTGTTCAGTGACCCACAACCAGGTCTTGAATATTCAAGGTTTTTGGGAATATGTGTTGAAATCTTACAAATGTGGACCTCACGCCAGCAAAATGAAGTCCTGGATATTGTACAGGCCAAGAAGTACCCAGAAGTACCCACACTTTGGAGACTTTTTTGTCGACCAAAGATGGCTGAAATTTCGAATCTTTTATCACATTTCAACGCCATGTGTCATAATATATGTGTAAAGCCTGATGAAGGCTACAATCTGTTGGGCGCTTTTGAGAGCGCTTTATGCCGAAGCAATCACTTTGTATTTTCAAAGAGGTTATTTTTAAAAGGAATTTGACTATAAATATTTTAATTCGAAGAAGGAGGGGTGTATAACGGTGTGTTTCAGTGTGAAAAGAACCCAAACAAAGGAACCACGCAGCATGCAAGCCGGCACAACGTAAACTGAAGCCTGCTCAGAATTTGAAAAAGAAACATCATGCAGAACTTTACTTATTCAAAAGAACAGATCAGTATTCTGGCCAGGAAATTTCCTTGAAGATTGCTTGAGTCAGTACCGGGTAGACTGTGCTTCAGAGAATTGTTTGTCGCATCGATAGGTTAAATTTTATTTGTAACTGCCATTGTAAACTTCAGCTCCTTTGAGCGCGATGCTGTAATAAATTATCCTTTGGTAATTAGCTTCACAGCGTAGCGGATGTTTTGTTGGAACCACTTTATAGATCAGTCATAGTTTTGGTTCTCCTTTGGCCTGGGTTCTCCTAGTGAACCTAGCGAAGCTTATCAATTGCGAGTCTTATAATTTGTGTTTACAGTGCGACCGAGCGCGGCACAAGTAGTTCTCGACAGATCAGTGAAATACATGTAAAACCCTTCTCAGTCAAAGCAACGCTGAAATTCTCCTTTAAAGCACAGTGAATATTAGCCAACTCGATAATCTCAAAAGCAGAAGCTGCTGAGCCGAAACATGTTTGGAAACCATCCACATCAGGCACTGCGATCGATGTTCACTTCGCGCGTGCTGAAGGTTACTGATCATAATGTGTCACGTACGCAGTGATAATATAACATGAATCGAGGTGCATCATGGGATACTATTCGATCGTCGTCTGCTGATTACCTGTGCATTGTCTATTTTCGCACGTCATTATAATCATGTGCTAATATTTTATTGCAGACATGATGAAAGGTTTCTTGAGTTACTACAATTTTACTACTCAAAACACAGTAGCAAAATAGAGTGACATATATAATGTCCTTCTTTCTTTCTGTGTTTGACCCTTGTACTGAAGCCCTTTTACAAAGTTTTCTGCCTCCCAATACGTAAGTTTGTCTCCCTTGGCTTTTTGCTACATTCTTTGGCCCTATCCTTCTTTTTATCTGTTTCAGTTCTAATATCAATTAATTAATAAATAAATTGTGTGTTTGTGACATTTTTTCAGGGGGCCCGCTATATATGGACACCCAGATGAAGGGTTCCACTGTATTAATAATTTCAAAGCATTCTTTTCACATGTATTATGTGAGGAATTTGACTGGTCAAGGTTATTTTAAAATAAATTAAGACAGCATAAAGCAATAAGTAAATAACTGGAAGTTTGATTAAAGATGGGTATCCCTCTAAGAAAAAAATCTATTCAACAATTATTTTGACTCAGAGGCCATGAGGGCAAGAGGAATAATTGTTTTAGTAAAATCCAACTAGTTGGTCAAAAATATCGAGAATAAAAAACTTTTAGCTAGTTAAAGCTAGACTTAAATCCTTTTTTGCCGCCAAAAAGCCCGCGCTGTTCGCTACTACTAGGGGCTATAACATAAAATTATAGCCTAGTAGTAGCTCAACCAATCAGAATGCAGCATTGATAATAGACCACTAGTTGGATTTTACGAACTCCAGATATGCTATAAAACAAAAAAGTAACATAACTATGAAAATTATGTTCATTTTCTTGTCACACCTCGTGGCCTTTCCATTTCTCACACAACTTGGTATATCAGTTATAGCTTACCTACAGTATCCAACTTTGTAAGTTTGGGTAAATTCCTCAGTACTGTCATTCTATAATTCTCTATATTAGCACAAGGATTATCGGACAGCCACAGTACTCTAAGTTTTGGAAGGTTCTTTAGAAATCCAATTTCATCAATGTTCCCAATGCTGTTTCTCCTTAGATAGAGTTCTCTTAACCTAGGACCTGTTTATGCAAGACCAAAAGAGAAACCAAAAAAACAACAACAAACATGTCCTTGTCATTTGTTCTATCATTAAAATCATTCTTAGTGTTTTATTTAACAAACATTTTTTTAAAATATTTTTAGTAAGTTTCCAGTTTGTCACTAAGTCTTTACAAAAGCAGAGCTGTCATTAAGGGTCATACCCTACAAAAGGAATAAAATCCAGAGCCTCTATAAAATCAGGAAGACATGAAGAAATTTAAACAGGGAAAAAGTATTTCTGGTGTTGTAATGTAATGGACAGGTGCAATCCATCAATATACAGTCACAATAATTAATTAAAACTTATGAAGGGCAATTTTCCATGGAGCATGATACACATGCATGTGAAGTAAACACACATAAAAATTGCTGTAAACATTATTTTATAGGCACCCTGTCAAATGAGTACACACTTCAAACATGATGTTCCAAGTCCCAGCAGTTTGGCATCCACCAAACTTCAACTTTCAGGTCCATATCTGGTATCACCTATCCCCCCCCCCCCCAAAAAAGTCCTACATTTTGTTATTGGATATGACAAAGTTTAGTGGATAACAAATGAAACCTGGCCCTTTGGTGAGTTTCATGTGCGATTTTGAAAGTTTAGAATATGTGGCTAATGATCTTATATGCACAGATGAGTATTTTGCAAGTCTCTTAACTATATCATGGTTTAAATTAAATTATTCTGAATGGTACAATGTGCAAAGTCCTTCAAACTGGTTATGCTGTTTACACTGCAAAATAAAACAAAAGAGGAGCATCTTAATACAATGACTTCAGTTAAGTGGAGCTTTAGTGTGTTCACTCATACGTGGTGATAAATTACATTGAAATAAACTAAAGAATATCTAACCTGAGGCTAAGGACTTCAACATTTGGCATTTGTCGTAGAACTGAGATCTGTAAAACAAATTAGCTGTAAGTTCAGCTCATTGTTCTCAAAACTATCAGAACACAGTTCACAGAAAGTTTAGCATATCATGCATACATGTATCAGGCATATCATGCTCAAAATCCCGGTAGGGGGGGAGGGTTCCACCTCGAGGGTTCTCCCATATATGGGAGTAATATATGGGCTAAACAGGTATGTGCGACTCAAAAGGCTTTTTGCCTCACCTACTCTAGGACAGAGTGAACAATATATATATTTCTTGGAGAGGGATATATTTCACTTCATTCTGACTCTCAATCAAGTTTAGGTGAGGTCATTTCATCACTGAGCCAGTCACAGGAACAAGGTTCCTATTCATACTAGGAATACATAATTCCAAAAGAAAGGAAAAGGGAAAAAATATGACAAAAAGAATTTCAGAAAACAAAACAACAACAAAAAAAGATCTACAAGAAAGAAAGAAATTGCGAGCCACAGTGATTTGAACTTGCAACATAACCACTGGCTGTTAGCGTACAACTCCTATACCACTTGGGCCACGCTGCCACTCAATAATTGAACAGGTGAAATTATTAAGCTCAAACCATATTTGTCTGTCGTTGACATTGTTTGAAGTTGGTGAAGCTGTTTTTACCAAGAATTTGAAGATGCATTTGAGGAAAATAAGTTTAACCACTTATTTCAAAGCCATTGTGCATCATTTTGGCCTGAATTCACTCTCGGATTCAACGGGGGATCAATGTACGGAGCTGAAACCAGTCTTTTCACCATCGGTCACATGAATCGGTGAGGAAAGACCAAAAGAAACAATTCATTGTGGGTTTCCCTCCGTGTAAAATGAATTAAAAGGTATAATTTTCAGGGAAAAGCAAAGTTTTGACAGTAAAAAGCCAAACTACTTTTGACAAACAAAGATATTCCGGCCGACGGCCTATTAAGCTGTTAAACCCTCTGAGAAGTGAGACGCATTGACAAATGTTCTTTAATCTTGATTTTTGCTCTTATTTACTTCAAGCTACTGCTCCAAATTGCTTAATTGTTCTCTGTAAAATACTTAAGCAATTGCAAGTAATCGCTAAATGCATTTCTTGATCACCATCACAGCTGCAAAACAGTCAAAACAATGCTGATCAAGTTTCTTCATGACATCACTACATTGCGAACACCATCGGATATATACCAGTATAGATGGGCCAAATATTGTCTGATCTGGAACAGCGTTGCATATTCACCTCTATTTGCCTTGAACAGGTGCAGAGACTCAGAGGGACACCCACACAGTTAATTGTACAGGAATACCCACGGCTCAAATTATCACCTGACTTCTACATCTCTCGGAGGGTGTTATCCACCTCGACCTGCATAATTCTTCATTTTCTACTAAGCCTCATTCAATAATAATATTATTGCTAATACAATGCAGATATCACTCATATTAGGTGGTACCGCAAATTTAAAAAAAGAGAGACAAATTCAGTACTTACATCGTTGAGATCACTTCCCCTGTTAAGAAAGAGCACCATACAGTGTAAGTAAAGTAACTAATATCAAAAATAAGTGAAACTATGACAACAAAGTCTGAAGTGTCGATTGAGTAAAAAAACCTTATAACGTCCAAGTGAATGAATGCCAAAAAAGACCTATCGTATCATTAAAAAGTACAGTGACATATAGTGCAAATAAATCCATTCGAATCCACCGCCTGATAAAATACAGAAGCAGGTTCTTAACCGCTAGAAAATAAACCTCGCGATCTGTGACATCTAAAGTCAAGAACTCTGCAGAGTACATCTCTCATTTTATCAGATCATTTTACTTACCAAAAATTTAGATTTTTAACATTCTCTAGTGAGGAAGCTCTAGCTCTTGTCAAAATCTGTTGTTCTGATAACCTGGACATTATGTACTTCAAATCAATTTCTCCGATGATTCGTTTATGTTTTCAATGCATCTTTCCGCCATTTTCCCGTAAGTAAATGGGAGATACCGCTGCCTTTAGTTTATACGCTAGTCGGAGTTATTCGGAACCAACGAATTTAACCGAACTGTCTCGAAGTTATCTTTCGGTAGGCCGGCGAAAGCTCACACAAGGGACGTCTTTTGGGTGTCTTCGGCAAAATAAAATTCAACCATGTGACGCTGTCAAAAAACTCCTGGCTAAGGAAATATGTAGCCCTGTTATATACACACAAATTTTCTGCGCTTTAAAAAATAGATAAGCCAAAAAAACTATTTGTTATATTAGTAATTTCTCTTTCGCATCATGGCGGACGTCAGGTTGTGATTTTGTATTGATATTTTAATAATCTCTCGAAAGTGATGTCCAGTTTGCTTGATAACAGTAGTTCTCCTTCTGAAGTGGATAGCTTAGACTTAGATGAGGTAAGTTTTCAATTCATTTTCAACATAAATCATTATTTTGATAGTTTGTGGAGAAACAAAGCTTTGACACATTGTCTCAACATCCATGCTAGTTGATATTAAGCTTACTTTATATTACTTTGCATACAATCTTACGTAAGACTTGACATTTGTAATATTTCCATATTTCAATGTCCATAAAATCTTGTAAAAATTTTTCATTTTTCTTAGCAGAATTTTTTCGGTCGATGAAGGTTATTTTTTAGGGTTGAAATTTAATCCCTATCTGTTTTTATTTGATTATTCAACAGGTTTCCCAACCTGTACAAGTTTTTTAATGACGAGATTACACGGATTTGTACATGTATGGGATAAAAATGTTTCCTTCTCGATGGAAAATTTTCTAACAGGAAAATAATTTTCCTCCTGAACCTCAGCTAACGTAGTAGATAAGCCTACCTGCAGTGATGCCAAAAAATTACTTTCCAAAATGAGGGATTTCTGTATTGAACGTTTTTTGGAGTTCCCAGGAAGCATTTCCTCTAAATAAAACTGTAAGAACACCCTGGAATTGCTTCAAAATGACCCATACACCACATACTGGACTGCCACTTAGAGTCAGCAACCGGAGATTTTCCCTCGGCTACTAGAAGCATAATCCATGCATACTTTCATATGAAAAAAAAGGAAAAGGGATCCAAAAGAACCTCCTAGCTGTTTAGTTCTCCACCCAGTAATTACACATACCTGGCAACGACAAAATTTAGTGACAGCCCTGACATAGGACACCAACCGAATTCTGCATGAGTTATTTGATAAAAATCTATGAAAAGTTTTCCTGGTACAATAGGGCTTGCTCATCATTTTTTTCTCAATGGTCACTTTGTTATTGGCTCCCATGTTTCAACCACAATACCGCCCTAGTCTGTATCAGGTGACGTTGTTGGTTAGTCATGTGTGCGGCCACTGCATACTGTTACTAATGTTCCTACTCAGCCAATCAAAACTGTGTCCTGATGAAGACCAGAAGTACATAACAATATTGAAATATTGCAATCAGTAAAAAGTGATTATCATGAGCAAAACATGTTAATGAGCCATGTTTTACACATATCACATGTGACTACATTTTTTGTTCTATCAGGAAACATCTCTCACATAAAGGGACATACACTATTCTACCATTATTATAAACACAACAGTTACCACATTACACATAAAAAATATTTTGTGATGCTTTTGCTTACAAGTAATGTTACTAGGGTCACATTTTTTTCCCTTTACTTCACCTAGGATCCAAGCCCAGAGTCCAATATTGTGTGTGAACTTATTGACGAAGCCATTGTAGGTCTTTGTTTTGAAATTCACCGCTCTATCAAAAATGGGGTTTACAGCATCCTTGAGCAATCGGATGAAAAAATGCAAGTATTGTACTGTAATTTGTTAAAACATTTTAGATACGCTCTTCTCACTTATGGTAATATGCCCGTCTAACCTCGTTTACGGGTAAAAATTCTTTTGAAATTCAAATACGAAAAGCATTAGCATTTCAAAGGACTTTTTACTCAAAAACGAGGTTAGACGGGCATATTACCATACGTGAGAAGAGCGTATTGTGAAAGGTTTGAACGCAGGAGTCATTTCATAAGTAGGTTGAGTATGATCGTCTGGCTGAAGGTAATCCTGAATAGGACTGTTGTTGACAGTGACTGATGTGTCGGCAACCTGTGCAGAGGCCCTGCCAGGGGGCGGGGGGGTCCCATGTCGCCCGTCTGAATTTTAAAACGTCTCGTGTCGGTGTTTATAAATGCTTGTCGCTTATTGTCGGCTTTGCCGTCACTGTCGTAATTTGGCCAAGGGAGGTTGTCTCTTGTTGTGATTTCATTTTACTCGCTGTCGCTACTTTTTTGGGCCATGTCGCTTGTCAGAATTTACCCTGGCAGGGCCTCTGTGCAGGAGTCATCTTCCTAGCTGGCCACTTACATTAGTGAGACCGACAGAAACATGGGACTGCCTGAACACTAATGAGTGGCAACTGCATTTATAAACCAACGAATGGACTTGGACTCTGCAACATGCATTATCAAATGTATTCTACAGACTTCTTTCAAGGTCTCACTTTAGAAAGCAGGTTTACTAACATCACTGAATCTTACTCAACAGTTTCCGGCATCACACAAACGACTTATTGATGGACTCAAGCAAAGCTAGCTATGACTCATACTATGACTGGACAACTGACAATTTGCTTAATGATAATGTTTAACTGTGGCAAGAGACAGATTGAAATGTACCAATGACGTTACAAGTCTTCATAGCCAATAACATCACAGCTTAACTGACTGACTGTCAATAACATTGCGATTTAATTGACCAATCAGGTCAATAACCAGAGTTTAATACCATCAACGGACATGATACAACTGACTTTGACTCTGAAGATGACTACCACACAGGTTGTTGAAACGTCAGTCACTGTCAGAAACAGTTCTATTTATAACTAGGTTCGCCCGGACAATCATACTCAGCCTACTTATGACATTGTACAAAAATTGTTATAAATATCAATGTTGACGGTGCCCTCTAATATTTCCTTATCCTGTATTTTTGTCTTTCATATATTGTGATGAAATCAGGAAACAGTTTGGTAAGTTATTAATCCTCCTGTTAAATTTCGTTTGGTTCATAATTGCACCAGGAGGGTTGTTATTTTTCTCTGTTATAATATAGAAATAAATTCATAGACTGTTTAGTGATTCTTTTACTTTAGTACCCTTCTATCAGTAAGCTTTCCTTCCTAACTATAAATAGGGCCCTGCTTCAATAACCACCCAAAAAGAGTGATATGAAAAAATTGAAGTTATGCTGTCTTTCCTATTTAGCCTTAGAAGTTTGCTTTTTTTCCCCCTTGATTTTGCCAGTGTTACCTATTTCTAGCTTGCGAGAGCATCCGCTTTTTTGGCTCAGGTTTCTAGTTTCACCCACCGAGAGGTTTTTCTTGGCGGGTGAAACTAGAAACTTGAGCTGAAAGAACCAGATGCTCGCGCAGGCTACTTATTTCCAGTGTCCCAGATAAGAGATTGGTCTCAGGTCAGTAACCTGACAATGAAGGCTTACTGCCCCAACAGATGAAATATAAATCATATTGTTAAGGGAGTATAACAAAAAAAAAGAATAGCATGTGGTCTGGGGACCCCTCAGATGGTCTACATGACCCCCCTCTTGAAAGAATTAACTGGAATGCTGTAATTCCCTTTTGTTGGTGTAATTTTTGTTGGCCTTGTTAATTTTTCCAGAAGTTGTAGAATGTGAGGGCCTGGATGTGTTTGGTCAGACACCCTTAAAGAAACAGGTGGAGTGTGTGTGTCCCCATTGTCAAAGAAACTTGGCTGCCAATAGATTTGCACCTCATTTAGAAAAATGCATGGGAATGGGACGAAACAGCAGCCGATTAGCCAGCAGAAGGTCAGCAATTTGTTGCCTTTTTTCCCCCTCCTTTCACAAATACATGACATGTACTATTCTTTATGTAAGGTAATATATTTTCATGTATGATATGAACATTTAATGGAAGTCTTCACTATGATATGTATTACTATAATAATAATAATAATGATTTTTTTAGATATTCAAAATACTTTTAATTATTAAAATCCTATAAAAAGTTGCACACAAAACTTCAGTAAAGTATTCATAAAAAGAAAACGTCAATATCAATACAATGTTCTGGCAAGACCCCTTCACAATTCAAAATTCCAAGAAACCTCCCGGGTTATAAAAAAATCAAGTCAAAAGTGTAAAAAGGTGTTAATGTTCCATGCTCGATGTCCAGAACTCTCCTTGAGTAGAGATGCTTTTTCTCATTCTCATGAATACGATAAATTTGTTGTGGAAAATCCTGGAGAGGAAGAACTGTAAGCCATGCTGATGACCCCTTCTTGTCTGCCAGATCTAGTGCTTGCTCAGTCTTTCTTGGTGCCAATTCCTTAATACGTTCTGCCCTGTGTTCGAGTTCCTTTAATCTTTCAGTTCTTACTTCCTGTTGTGCTAATTTTGTGAGAGCATCCCACCACGTCCTATTTTCTATAATGAAGCCAGCTCTACTTAAGCATCATCTGCAAACCAACATAGTGCTTCACAATGGATGCTGCTTGTAGACTCGTAATTAAAGGCTGAATACTTAAGGCATATAGACCCATAGCAAGCAGATCGCCCTGTGTTGTTCCTTCTGCTGACATGGTCTCTTTCCTGCCAATGACAAATAGCTGAGCTGGCTGTCTGTAGCTATTAATAGTGTAAACCCTGTTGAGTTTGTTGAATGCATTAGAGGCGTCGATGAGCAGTGCGGCATCAGTGTCATCTGATTCAAATATAGTATGCATCATGTGTATTGCAGCCCCCCTTCTGGATTTTTGTCCAGCACACAGCTGGAGTGAGTTACACTCATTACACACTTTCCACAAATTCTCCTTAAAACTTCCCCAACTCCTATTGGTCTAACAGCACCTTCGCTTTTATCCAGTGGAATCAGATGGTTAGCTACCAGGGGCTGTATGGTCGTAGGATCAATGTATTGTGTACACAGAGTCCTTGTCATTGTGGCTATTGCCTCACACTGCCTTGAATTGTAGATGACTGTTTTAAGGACTTGCAAGTGAGGATAGTATAATAATAATAACAATAATAATAATAATTTTTTTTAATTTTTAATATTCGAACATATTTTATTGATAACAATGCTAACTATTAAAATCCTATTTACAATTAATTCACTTAAAAAAACTATTTCGTCAAAACACTATAATAATAATAATAATGATAATAATAATTTAATCATCCTCTCCCTTTATGGGGCTTTTCAGGGATAATGAAGCAAATAACTTTTTTTTTTATTGAAATGGAACATAACATGTTTAAGAATCCCAACTGGTAGGGGGTGAACCAGTTGGCTATTTTACAAGCATAGTTGAGGATTTGAAGACGGGACTACTGAGAACAAATCCAACAAACGGTCAGTGTGAGACTGAGAGCTTCCGAGTTACATAAGTCCAGCGCTCTAACTGAATGGTCACGCTGCCTCCTATACTGTCGTTACTTTCGTCCCCCACACCACTCCAGAGATGATACACTGGAAGGTTTAAGAGCATGCAATTACATAATACAGACAGGAGGTACTTTGAGATGTACTCGTCCTGCAATAGCAAGTCTGTGAGAGGGTATCATGGTCTGTAGACCTAGGTACAGATCCATCAAGAATAAAATAAAGAAAGCAGTTTACGCCCACTCCTGGTCTGTAGTCTGTGGTCCATAGACTTAACAGTGGTCATCATGTGCTTATTTTGAGAGTGAGCACATTCTGCAAGTGGTCTAGATTGAATCAGACACTAATTTTGACTGCTAAATGCCCCTTATCTTGCAGGTTAGCAACCACGGGCAAGCTGATGGATGGGGAAGATGATTATGATAACTACTTTGATGATGACTGGACATGGAATTCAGACAGAAAACCAGGTTTGGGGGTATTTCATTTTGTCGTTGAAGCAAGGGAGTCAAGTGCTCTCGATAGTATTATTTTCCTTTACTGAAGAATGCAAGCAGATTTCAGATGTCACAAGTTTAAAAAATTAGTCAGCCATGGGGCTGAACTTCAGTTAAATAACAGAGCCTCCACAAGCTTCTGTATTGTTTTCCCAATGACTTATGGCTATGGGCTGGTGATTTTCTTATCAAAGACTCTTGGTTTTTTCAATTTAAAGAAGTTATCAATGATAATAACAAAAATCCAGTTTGTTGACATGGTTGTCAACAACTAGTAAATTGTTATTTCTGAATGTTTCCTCTCAGTAGTTTCCTCTGCATTGACATTGTATGCAAGGTCATTAGGAATCCTACAGCTATTTATGCATAGGTATTAACAATACTTATTTTTGTTCCTTTTTCTTAGGCAAGAAGAATAAGAAAGACAGGGTGAGATAACGAAGTTATTTTAGTCAGTTCTTCAGTGACAGAGATTAGGGCAATTGTCCCGAGAGGAATAATATGAAATTATTTTGCACTGTTATATTTTCTGTAGGGAAATTCTCCAAGGAGAGCTAAAGCTCCCAGAAGAAATGGTAAGAGTAGTGCAGATATTTGTTATTTTCTTACACCCTGCTATGTTTCTAGACAAGAAACTCAATGCCACATTGTCCCTCACCAAGAAGAATAGATTGGTACTGGCTGGATGTCGTATGATGCAGACAGTGGCTGTGATAAATCCTTTAAAAAAATTGGGGGCGGGGTGCAAATCCACTAATGAGCAGCTGCTTTGCCGCTGATATTTTATGCACTTGCCAAACAAAGCCTTTAGCTTCATAAGCTACTCCTAGTTGGCCTGTTAGGTTTGTTGGTTAAAGTGCTGCTCCAGTATCTCCATGTCGTCAGTTTGAATCCTATAATTTTAATCCTGAAAATTTTTCCCAGGTTTTATCACATTCCGTTTAAGTTGCATACATGACTGTGATAGTCTTTCTCCTGTTGAAGTGTTATTCAAAAATATATGATTTTAACATTCTTAAATCTTTAATTAGTTTTTATGTCACAGTATTTTTAAATGCTAATAAGGCCTTAGCAAATTCTAGGAGGTACATGAATCTATCATGATGTACAGGTTGTGTTCAGATGTGTGGGGAATGTCTTAGTTTGTGATAACTTAATCCATTTGTCTTGTTAGGTGAAGCTGGGACACCACGACCTGGAACACCAAGTTCTCTTCGTCCTGGAACACCAAGTTCTAATCGCCCCAGTACACCAAGTTCTGTTAACAGTGGGGAGCTGCCGGCAACAAGGGTATTAATATTTTACAAGCTCATTTAAGATACATTGTCTCATTATTTTGAATTGTTGGTTATTCTAAATCAGAGTGATGCTGTTAGAAGTAGCCATCACATTTAAACCTCAGAAGAATCAAAAGCCAAAAAAATATTATGATGTTAAATGTTATAAAGTTGTTGTGATCAGTGAATTTGATTTAAAGTCTTGCAATTGAAAAAAAATTGGGTTTTACAAAAGTCGTCACAAAGCTGAACATGAGCAAGAAGCAAAATGAGCCCATAATACCTCTCTTCACCTACCATTCAGGGAAATTTCTTTTGTCAAAGAAGAATTCTGATACTAAGAAATGCCAAAGGGCTGTAATGTTAAACTGGAGTCAGTTCCACAAGTTTTACTGTGACTGGGGCAAGGAATGTCTTTTCATGTACTGTGATTGTGTCAATGTTTTTCTTTGAAAAGACAAGACACTGTTTTTATTTGCGTTTAGACTGGTCCTACAGTGGCTGCCTTTGAAGCTCTTGGAAGTGGTATGTCTCTTATTTACTAATAAATTCTTGCCAGGATTAGGGACGTTACTACCTAGAACATACCTCTACACAGACTACGCTGTCTTTCTACAATTATTATCTATGGAGTAAACAACAGTCAGGTCTTGGCGTTGTCAGACGTTTCCTAACCCTTTTAGGCTGATTTAGCAACAGAACAGGAACGTCAGTTGACGACGGGAAAGCATGCAGAAAGAACTAAACGCGACTTCCGGTTCCCAATTTGTCGTTCTGCCATTGGTCAAGCCAGTTGTTTGATTTGCGCGCGCCGTTATCCCAGTGTCAATGCAAAATCAAGAGAAAAAAATATGAGAATTGAAAAAATGATCACCAGGGGAGAAATGCTTTGATCTTTTTTCCAGTTCTCTCCACTTATTCTTAAAGTATGGGAATCAGTCTGGAGAATTTGTCAGTGAACATTGGGGCTTAAAATGCCGAATTAAAAGGCCGTCTAGAGAAAAAATATTGTTTGATTGTGTATCTGTTTTTCTGCACCTTCCTTTCAATGCTTGTCATTGATGATAACTATTCGTTTTATTTTTTAGCGGAGAAAAAAGCTCTTCTTTCACAGGTGAGGTCAACTGAATCATTTTTGGACAAATTTGTGATGTAGTTTTGTTTTTCGCCAACTTTTTAAGCAACAGACTGTCTCAGAATTTCCAACACCAACTTTTCCATGAATTTACCTTTCCTGTCCTGCAAACTGAGGCCGAGCCAGCTCAGTCGGTAGAGCGCTGGCCTGCAGAGCGTGAGTTTGCTGGTTCATCTCCTGGGGCCAGGAAACAACGGAGGAATGAAGGTACTTTCTTTGCCCTGCAAACGGCTAAACAGTGACTAAACCTTCGCTTGGCTCGAATGACCGTGTGCAAATGACGGTTGCGTCTCCAGTAACAGACTTGAAAGCAGTGTCTTTGTTAGTATTTTCGTGCTAAATACGTTAACATTGAATAAGTAGGTTTGTTTACTTTATTACGGTTTTCTGCCTCGCCTGCACTGCGATGAGTCTCGGATTTTCCCATTCATCACCCGGCTTAACTTCTTCGTTTTGCACATTAAGCCTCAGTAACGTTGCAGCTTAAAGAATGTAATTACGAGTTTGAAAAATTTTATGTTCCTGTTTTTCACAATCCAATATCAGGTACATCACAGGTAGCCCAAGCTCAAAATATGAGCATCGGCGAGCATCGGCGTTGTTGCGTAACATTCAAAATATAAGGATTTGTATGGGGGAAAAAACCTATCGTTTCTGTAACGTAAGAAAATGAAAGGATTTCTATATAAAGAGGGAAAACCGTCTACATGCAAACCCATAAAACGGCCATAAATCGGTTAGTGGACCACACAGGAGAGACGTAACACACATTTTAAGTAAGGTAAGCTGTTTTTTATTGAAATCCTTTCATTTTCGTAGGTTACAGAAACGATAGGTTTTTTCCCCGTACAAATCCTTATATTTTGAATGTTACGCAACAACGCCGATGCTCATATTTCGAGCTTGGGCTACCTGTGGTCTCGTCAGAAACATACAGAAACTCTGAATGATGGCTTTTTTCCATATGACAAATATATATAACAATTGTGCAGATGATCTGACCGAGTTGTGTAACGAGGAACTGACGAGCCTCTTTTTTTTTGCGTTCAGACATGCGGTGTGGTATCTGAGCATACAGCACGGATGTGTACAAGGTAAGCAATAATAACACAAGTTACGGTTACACTAAGAAGCCGTTTTGCCGTGGGATAAGGCTTTTTACCTCAGGAAAATGTGACTGCTCTTTTCCAAGATAAACGTGCTCGCATAACAGTGGAAGCGTTAAAACTTTCAAGAGAAGCGGACAGTGACAGCTACCGCCGGATATTGCTACTGACGTTTTTTTTCTTGGGTACTCTCGCCTAAACCAGCGATCAGAGGAGCGGCTATGTAATTTCCCGCTTAAAACGCCCTACACGCGCCTAGTCCTGCGTGAAACAAACTTTCATGTAACTGCTCTGATCTTGGTATGTGTAATACCGCTGATAAATGTGTCGCGAGAGAATACTTTTCCCCTGGAGGGTTAATTAAACAAAAGGTTTCCATCATGTAATATTTAACCTACAATCAGCGACAAAATTGTTGAGGCATTTTGCTCAAATATGGTAACTTCGGAGAACAAAACTATCCACACCCATCCCCCGTTTTCTCCATTCAAAGTTCGGGTGTTTGTTATTTTCTATAGCTAGCTCGAACAGTAGGACAACATTGGTGGAGGGGGTAGGCGCGGGAAAGCTTAATTTTCCTCTTTTTAAGTTGGCAAACAACAGAGAGGCCCTTATTCAAGGGCAAAGTGCCTCAACTAATTTTGTTGCCGATTGTAGCTAAAACGACAAAAATGCTCTCGAGGAGAACGTTCCAGTTTTGGTATAACTGATAAAGTAATTATTGTTTTATTTAACAGGTCTCATAGATGTCCTCAACACTCTGATGAGCAAAGACAAGCTGTTAGGATTTTGCTTTTAGGTATACAAGCCCTTTTGTGGTATCACTTGTCAGTATAAAGCGTTTTTACTCACGTGGCCAGTATCTATGTAAATTTATTGGAACAAAAGAGAGCGTTCGCACAAGAAAATAATTCAACTCCCACAGGATCGACTTGGTACACCAACATGGCGGCCGTTTCATTGTTTTGGAACACCAATATGGCCGCCGTGACGTCATGTAGCTGTAGCTCCAAATGACCAATAAGATCTTGAAATAAATTCAAATTCTTGTAGTCGGCACGAAACGCGGGAAAACAGGAGGGAGCCAGTCACGTGTGGTTATAGGCTTACTCCTGATTGGTCCAGATAGTTCAGTGGCGTGAGTTATTTCAGCCAATATCACACATAATTAGATATAAATGCAGAACCAAGGAATCACAAACTCACTTTCCACACTCAACGAAAATCACTGTTAAAGCTATTTATTATTCATAGTCATAATTCCTTGCATAACAGGCTATTTTACAGTTATGAATGGAAGTGAGGCTGAGGGTGACCTTGTTTTGATACAAACCTTATTTGCTTTGTTATGGAAATTGTTCTTGAAAAATACTAGTTAGCATAAGAATGACTTGATTTGCACAATAAGGCAGGGAGGTTTGTATCAAAACAAGGTCACCCTCAGCCCCGCTTCCATCCACAACTGTAAAATGGCTTATTATACCTTGTTGTTTCTGCTGTTTTTATTGTTCTCTTCAGGTTATCCAGATGTGGAGCCCCCTGTTGGAAGATTACGACTTGAAAGGTGACAAGTCTAAGCAATACAGTGTATACCTCTCCCCCGAAAATCACCGTCATGCCTACTAGCTCCTTCTCTACTTTCAAAATGCCGGCACGGAGAGTCCCTACTGGACATTATCGATTATCATGAGAGCGAGTGATCTCGGGCTACTTAGACATTTCCCTTCAGGGGAATTCAAGGGACATTTTCCTTATCATTGCGATCGTAATTGCCAACATTCTCCAGTACAATTCATTCTCCGCGCGCACCTTATTTAGTTTTTATAAAGACTTCTTTCTGGCCTAAAACTGTATATTTCAGTAAATTTCTTAATCGCAAGTATAACAAAATTCTCTTATATTATTGGCTATCACTAGCCCCGGATTCAGCATTAATCATGCGAGTGGTTAAACAAAATTGGACGACCGCGTATCAATTCTGCTATCAGCGGGCTGCATTTTGTTAACACATCACCTCGTTAAGCAAAATACTGTTTCACCTCGGGTTTAACTTATACATTTTACCCAAGTACAACGTTTCAAAGATCTTTACTGCGTGTGATGGCCAAAACTTTCTAGAGCCCACAATGCAAAGCTATCTTTATGGTGTCATAAGAATGATACGGGATGACTTGCAACGACGATTTTTAGCGCAATACAGGATTGCAATGTTGGAAGAATGCTGTAACCATTCGAAACATTGTTGCAACGCTGTGTTGCGCTAAAAATCGTCGTCTCGTGTAACATCACCTTACTTGAAAAAGTCTGAGTTCTCCCACAGGAGTTGAACCTATAACTTGGTTACTGGTCCAGATCCTCTACCACTGAGCTATGAGAGATTCGTAGGAGCAAACGCCGTTAAACTAAGTTCACACTCCATATGCACATCTTCTATATTGCACCTTGTGCACCCCAAACGTTTTGCATAACTTTTAAAGAGAAATCGAGGATAATGCTTATGAAAAAAAAAAAAAAAATGGCGGGGGATGGAGGGGGCAAACAGGGTGTACCATGGAAGTTGGGCAAATAGCGAATTAGCTGGCGGGTTTTGTTGGAGAATGAGTGCACGAACGAGCGGCGAAACCGAAAGAGGGATTGGGAAAAAAGCGCACCCGCGCGCTGTCCAACAAAAGTAACAGCTACGCAGGCTAAGGTTTCAATGACAAGCATCCTGTTTTATGTCGTTTGCAAAGTCGTTTGCTTTTATTCCCAGGTATTCGTGCTATAACTTTTGCAGAATATAATATCTCATTTTTTACTTTTCTAATTTCAGAGGTACTTTGGAAGCTGATGACGTAATCGGTAAGGAATGAGAGCTTCTTTCTGTGTTGATGTACTGTTGAACAGGTTTGTTAATGCAAAGTATGTTTTCTTATCAGATGTTGATAGTTATGAAGACGGTGATGGCCAGGCCTTAAGAGATACATTGAACAGGTGTGAGATGAAATTTCCGTTACAGTTACTAAGAAAGGGTTTTGAATAAACTGTAAAGTAAAACAGGCTACACAGGCTAAACACAGTTTATTTACGTTTTACAAGTAGCCACGGTCGGTCAGTTTTGCCATGAAGGAAATACGGTGCGTTTTACCTTTTCCCCCGTATAAAGCAGTGGCTCCTGAGTCACCTTTTTTTTCCAACGAAGGGAGCGAAACGTCTTCTCAAAAACGTCACATCTTGATGTGTATAAGGCACCGGCTTCTGCTTCACCTTTTTTTCCGTCGAAGGCGACGAAACGCCTTCTAAAAAACGCCACATCTTGATAAGTGCTGTCTTGTTTTCTACGAATAGCCTCAAAATGCATTACTTCACAAAAACTGAGCCTGCGATCGTTTCGTAGAAAACAGTGCACCATCAAAGATGGAGCCCAAACTTACGATTTCATTGTAGACAAAAGCTGCTTGTTATTCTCCATTATTCTAAAAGTTTTAAGTGGATGAGAAGTAATGAGAAAAGGGAAAGTGTATAAAATTATATAAGAATTTTTGGAAACATTTTGATGTTGAGCAAGACTTCACTCGCTCGAAGGGCGACTTTCGAAGTTATCTCAGTTAATCGTCCGACTGGGTATATGGATCCCTGTACCCTATATGTTAATTGCTATAGTGGTTTATTAGTAAGCCTAATTTGAGGATCGTTCCCGAACTGCTCTGTGAGGAGCCTGATAGTATGGAGCCGCGAGTTCTGTACGAGTTACAGGTAATGTGGAACGTACTCCCACAATGTGAAGAAGTTGAGAGACTTTCAGAAGGACAGAACGATTTATTTTTAAAGTAACACTTACAATTGACTAAGTTTTTACACGTTTTCTACCTTACATTTTCATTCTGTTCCTTCTCTTTTCTTTCTCAGTTTTTCCCTTTGTCCTTCTCAGGTTCTTGCTGTTACGTTCTCTGTTTTCTTTTTCCTTTTCTTTCTTTCTCTTAGCCTTTCTCCTCTTTCCGTTTAGTTACAGATTTTCTCTGTTTTTATACTCTATCCCTTTTAACGTATCTTCTAAAACTCTTTAGTTATTAGTAAAGAAAAAACAAAAGAAAATGTTGGATGAGTGTCTTTATACTCTGATAAAGACACGGCTAAACTTTACGTCCATGACATCACCTCTCAATTGACCAATCATGTCAATAACTAGAGTTAAATACTATCAATTTAAGTCCCAAGAGTGATCAAGGTCAATTTTCTCCAATAATATCAATACGGAACAAAAAGTAAAGGTTATAATGATCACCTAAAAGAAACTGCTCTGATCTTAAAACAAATTCTCTCAACTAATTCTTTAAGAAAATGTATGGAGATCAGTCTGGAGAATTTGTATGTGGATATTGGGATTACAGGGGTTAATAAGCACAAAAAACATTGTGAGTTAATTTTCAGCATAGTGGTTTAGCTGTACCTGGACTTCATTTGCGCGTGTGTTTTGTAGGTTATCTTGGGAAGAAGAATCCAATGTATCAACAGGAGACGACAATTCGCCAGCGGGTAAATGTGAGTTTTTTTTTACATACCTAGTGGCAGTTAATTTAATTTTTTTACTTTAGTTTTTTTGGTGCAAAAATCCGTAAACATTGCAAAAATTTAGTGCCACACGATTTTAGATTTGGTGATTGAAAATAGACCTTGTCACGGTTTTGGAAGCCATCTTGACTAGTAGGCAACCACGTAAAAAAATTACAGTGTATGAATGAGAATCTAATGTCGAATAATTTTCGTAAAACGGCTTTTCTATTAAAAAAAAATGATTTGTAAACTTGAGCTACACAGCAAAGGATTCTACTAACAAATACTGTGCTTAAATTTCGCCGGACGCTTGCTTTAGATTTTCTATATATTTGTCTACAATTTTTCCCGGGAAATTTTAGTCGGCAGGAGGAAAATTTTTAAGGGCAAATGTGAATAAAATTTTAAAAACTAGTTCTAGCGCAGCTAGCCTCATGTAACGTCGTAAAATTTTTTCAGTAGAATCGTCAGGAGTGAAGCTTTAGTTTACAATCCATATTTTTCTTAGAACAGCCGTTTACGGAAATTATTTGACATTAGATTCTAACCGACCAACACTGTAATTTCTAACGTCAAGATGGCTCTCAAGACCGTGACAAGGTCTATTGGACTGTCATATGTTGGCCCTTTTTTGTTTTCAAACCAAAATTCTATCAACGTTTGTCAGTCATCAAAAGGGCCTCGTAACCTGTTCCAGGCGTTGAGATTATGGGGACGGCGCTATAAGATGTGAGCAGGAAAACACTATGAGGGGGTGGAGTAGGGATTGTTTCCCGCTCTCTGACCGCCACACCTCACTCCATTCTGAATCCTAGCGCAGGCTACTGTCCAGGAGGCCCCACAAACTTTTGTCTCACCTCTCCACCCCTCCTTCCCAAAAAAGCTGGAAGTCAAAAAATCAATTTTCGAACGCAACTCGGTTGCAGCGAAATTTAGATTTTTATACCAAGAAGCTGAGTTTTTTGCGAAAATCTAGGAATACATTCTGCTCAGTTTGACTTGCACAGTTTGTGAAAAGTTAATTTTATAGTCACTCTGTTGAAGGTGCAAACGAATTTGGAAAGGCACATAAATTTTTTTTCAGTGTTTGTGGTAGGGACAAACAAATTTTGGATTTCTACAACTTTTCTTCAACATTTTGCATGGAACGATCGATCGATTTGAAGATTGTTTGGTAGAATATACTGATCGTCTGATTTCTGTGGATCTTGTTTAAAGATGCGTATTTATTTTAGTCTTTTTTGTGCTTTAAATGTATAGAAGGGCTATATTTTAGTTTCAGTAAACTGTAATAAAGAGTTTTGGCGTCTGTCTTCAGACTAACTGTCTGCATGGTTACATAAAGGCCCAAGCATTTTCAATTGAGGACTCCTTATTTTTTTTTCAACTGTGACTCACTGGTTCCGAACAGGGACTCGTGATTTTTCACAAGATGATGGAGTCACCATAACTATTTGTAACAAAATCACTGAGAGTTTTAGTGTTTTTAATTTGACTAGTTTTTATTTTCTTGCTAGCGTTTGGAAGTTTGGCTCTGATAAAACAAAAGAGAAAGAAGAAGACAAAACACAAAAAACGACCAAGATGAGAAAAGGCACTATTGAAGGAATTCTGAGGCTGAAGAAAAGTACGGTGAAATTCGTCTGATAAGTGTGGAGACTGTCATTGTCTGTTTAAGAACGTCGAATATACACCTGAATGCTTACTCTCGTGTCTGAGGAAGGAAGGACTCTTGTGTCATAGAAGTGGAGGCTTTGTCGAATAACTTTCATTGGATACGCGGCGGTTTCAACTGCTAAAACCACGACATTGGCACGATAAACAGTTACGTCTCGTATCGCTATATTTCCTTTCTATTATTTCGTTCCTCTTCAAGTTTAAGTTTGAAAATATTTAATCTTTCACTGTAGGGAAGTCTGCGGTAGGTTTCACCTTGTGCCGACCTTGACAATGGTTCAGTCTAGTTACCTGGGTCTAGTTATTCTGTTTGTTCTGTGCAGTTGACTAATCTCCAATTACCTGTGGTATTGAGACGTTTTCGCCATCGTAAAAGGATCATAAAGGTGATAAAGACTGTTAATTTGACATTCAATGGTATAAGCAGAAAAAGCTGCATTACTTTTAACCTATGGGCATGATATTTCTTTGATGGCTAACTCGATGGATTGTTAGAAAAGAACACACAATATGCAAATGAACTAGTAAACGTGATGAAACTTTGACGCATGGCACTGTTTTCGTTAATGTAATAGAACCCAGCAATGTTGGGTGCGCAATGTACGTCTCATAGGCGCCATAAACCGTTCACAAATGAAGAATAAAATGTATCACTTTGGTAGTTTTGCTCGAAATTTTTATCTTTCAGTGGTAAAGGTGAAGGTTCCGCACCTGGGAATCAAACTCTAAATCCCCCGCACATATGGTCGCGTATTCAAACGACGGTGCTCTTCTTTTTCCTTAATGACAATGGGTAAAATGTAAATGGAATTATTCTTGATTTTCCTGTCCTGCTTGGAGACCCCGCCCCTCCCCCATTGATGGTTGCACCTGAAAACACAAAGGCCTAGTCATTCACACGAAGGTTAAGTTACAAAGCGACAGTTTACGTTAGTCTCTTGTGGACCAGCAAATTTGCTTGCAAGTGTTTTTGCCTTAGGCACAACTCCAAGACGAAGGGAAAGGTTGTAACCTCCTTTAATTAAACCTCCCCGAAACTGGCAGAAAAGTTTTGGGCCAAGAACTCTTAACATTGTTGGGTGTTACATGTTGCGTCCGTTTCCACTCTCTGTTGTACGTTGATGCGTGCTGTTGGGAGTTGTCGCGTAAAGTTTAAAACCGGTCAAACTCTTCGAGTCAACAACTCCCAACAATATTTCTTTTGTTCCATGATCGCCGAAGAGTAGCCCTGTATTGTTGAATCCGTTTTTGCTGCCACGCCATTCAAGATGGGACTGTATCCCTTCATCATACTTTTGAAATGGAGCTAACCTAGGTGTATCAAGCGCTTGATGACCACTTTATAAAGGTGACAACAATGGAAGAGCTCTCATGATTGAGACGGCCAAGAGGTTGTCGCTGCATGAATAGAGATGTAATTTCCCGGCATTCTTTTCTACAATTATTTTGTGTGGCGTCTTATCGGAGATTCAACTGTATTCCTGTATTTATTGTCTGCATGTGTGATCAGACGAAGCCGGTCGGGGAAATAAATCAAGTTAACAAGATACTCGCGTTGCTTTGTGATGCTCATCGTGTTCATTAAAAGAAATCGTATGTGTTTTCTTGTAAACCCGTGTAAGTTGAACTAAGTAAGTAGACAGGTATATTTTTCGCCTCTTTTATTTGACATTTTGTTCATCATGCTTCTGAAATCGTTGAACTTATTAATTTCTTTGATTTCTTGTTTACAGTTTCTTAATTCAATATGGGCCTCTTTTGCTGCTTGAGTGTCCAATTGCATTCAGCGATTCTCCTTTCATAGTACCTGATGAGGGCGTTAACATATAGTTAACCACCTCTTGTTCTGTCGTCTTTGTTAATTATCTTTTTAATGTCTGTTTCAAAGGCTTCGTCTGCTCTTGCTTTGTATTGTAATGTCTTTGGGCATGTTCCTCTTTGGGAATGCCTATTCAGTGCTTTTAAAGCCTCCTCTAATTGTTCTGTTATTTTTTCTTCTGAAAGTGCTTCATTGTTTTCGTTTCTAATTTCTTTTGTGATCCTGTGATTCGTATTTTTGGTTAAAGGTGAACAGGTGGTTCCGCGTTCTGTTTTCCTTCTTTTCTTTCTTCTTTTGCAGAGCGTTTCTTGGAGATCTTTGACCTGGTTTTGGGTCAGGTTCAGAAAGCTTGTTTTCTTGCCGTCGTTGCTTCAGCATTGACCTCCATTTCGTCAATGTCTAAACATCGACCCCTCCGCACAGTCTGGTACCAAAGCTCAAGCGACTCTCGCCGAACAAGCGCATACGTCAAACTCCGATTTTCGACAACAAATTCTCATTTTTAACTCCGATTTTCGAAAACAAACTTCAATTTTCCAAAACATACTCTCATTTTCGAAAGCAAACTCCCATTTTTCTTAAAGCAAACTTCGATTTTCCAATTCAATTTTTTGAAACCAAACTCCGATTTTCAACAAAACAAACACCGATTTTTCAAGTCAAACTCAGATGTCCCTTTAAGCTTCAGCAAATATACCCGTCTAGGCGAAATAAGAGAGTAGTGACCTCTATACACCGGACCGTTTGAGCGCCTACTGGTACGGTTAAACAAACATGTTTACCTCGTAGTTTTATAAAAGGCAACCATTATTTCCCAGATGTAATAATGGCATAACCATTGTACCTGGTAGCTTACTCGTTTCTATCCGTATACGCGAGGGTTACTTTACCCGCACCCGTAGTGTCCCTCGTCCCCCGGGCGTGAAAGATGGAATCTGGAATCTGGAATCTGGAAACGGAATCACGTAAACGGAAACAGAAACGGAAACGGAATCTGTGAAAGAAAGCTCCAAGCGATCGATTTGGGAAAAAATTTTAGCAATGACAATAAAAATAAGTGAATAAATTTAATACCTGGGCAGAGGAGACTAGTTAATGTTTAACTGTATTATTCAACCCGTAAACTCGTGAATAAAAAGTACTTGTAAAACTACCTTTATCGGCCTTGCAGCGCAATAAATCACACAATGGCAAACCTTTTCAAGACACATTATTAAACAAGAATATATTTAAGTCAACTGCAAAGAAAACTAGAACAAATTCTCTTTGGATTGTACTAAATTATGCAATGTCGTGAAATTCTAAAATTTTCTATCACTGATGCAATTCGGTAGACAGACCCTGGGAACGAGGAATGAACTGGAAGTCAGCCAAGAAATGTAATCAGTGCATTCCGTGAACAGTCCGGAATATCCCTAAATTTAACCCATTCGCTCCTGGAGATTTTGCCGAAAAACGCGTTTTGAAGCTAGTCGAGTGGTTTTCTGGTCACTGTCGTGCTATAAAGAGCTAAAACTTACCACAAACCGGTTTACAGGTCGTACACTTGGCGGCCTTCTGATCCAGATGCGAAATATCAGCTTGCGAAGTTCGGGCATGCGCAGAAAGCAATTTGGGTTTAAAAGTGACCACTGCACGAAAAAATGGATTTACAACAACTGCAAAATCAATGCAAATATGAAGTAAATACCACATTTGATCAAATTTGTTTATATTTGCTCCGAGGCAAATTCCATCATTGGATAATATTTGCACGCGAAGCAAAGATGGTAAATACCGCATTTACTCAATCTTTACAGTCCAAAGCAAATGAGAAGAAAAACTGCACATTTGCATCAGATTTAACATGAACCAAAAATGTGGTAAATAGATAAATCTGCTGCACCGAAACATGAATTTACAATTGTAGCAAACATTCTGCTGCACGTCGTTTTGATTACATTTACCCGCAATGCAAACCCCATTTTTGCATCACATTTGTAAGTAAAGCATAGGCGGTCAACACTTTATATTTACCAAGTAGCAAATACTACGCAAACGTCATATTTGCACAGTAATTACATTTGAAGCAAAGTTGGTGAAAAATATCGTTCACTACGTATTTGCGCCGAGTG